TAAATAGCTAGAGCCTGAGGTTACTCCTTAACCGGAGTTAACCTCAACAGCAACAAAGGAGATTATTTGATTAAATACGTTCATCATTGAAATGGAATTCAAATAGAAGATTATCAATTCTCAATGTGATAATCAATGTGTATTACATCTTGCTGCAAATCAGTTGATGTACAATAGAATAAAATACATTCATATCCAACAGCCGACTATTATCAAACATCAGATACTATTATAAAAAAAAATTTCAAATAATCAAGATTGATGATAAATTTAATCTAGCTCATGCGTTGATCAAAATTCTTATTTACTATAATTTTAAAATTTTGTGCTACTATGTTAATTTGACAAGAATAACGCAATGAATGTTATTCGAAATATTTATTAACTTTTAATATTTTTACTTTATCATGTTTTGGCTAAGGTTTAATATTAATCTACAAGTAAATTTACTTCTAAGATAATTTGTAAAGTAATTTTATAGATTATGAAGATTATTGTTTTCACAACATGAATTATAATAGAGAATGGTTAGTGATAGTTATAGATACCTAGTGATCCAAAATCTGGATCGAGTTTAGTACTTCTATTTATTTAAAGTACAAAGTACAACAATACCTAAATCTTCAATGGACATTGTAACAACATGGAGATTCTTGGAAAAAACTTATTACAATGCTATGTTCATGGAAACATAATATTTTAGCTAGAATCAAACCACGTTATCTGTGGTTTTCAAATGTGTTATGCATTTTGTTGTGTATTTTTTGATGTTTTGTGTGTGTTTTTATGCATTTTTTGGTCACTCAAGTCATACATTTTGCATCAAAATATTCATGATTAAATCTCAATTTTTTCTATTTAAAAAATCAAAGTGCAATTTCAATTATATTATAATTTTTTTTTTTTGATATAGATTTTGATTGCATATTTTTATATGGATTATTAATAATATTTTCTCATAATTTGCATGAAAATTTAATAATTTTTAGAGTCTTTATGCAATCTTCAAGAATTCCAAACTGTTGTGAGCAAATTTTTATTATACAACAATCAACCAACATTTAAATCAATTAGAAAGATAAATTTTAATTGAAATATTATTGAAATGTATTTTTTACAAAAAGTAAAAGTTATTCAGATGAAAATATTCACACATGATTGGTTTTTCTTAATTAATCTATATTTCAGAATTATTGTAAAAAACAAGATTTTCATCAAATGATGATAAAACAACTTCTCATCTTTTTTTTATACTGTTTATTGTGAACCAATCACAAAATGTATATCATTATGAGCACATGAAGTGTTGTCTCAACATTCATAAATAGTATATTACAAGTATGCTCGAGATGACTTTTAAGATGTATTACGTCTTAAATAATTTTAACTATAACTAAATGTAACGAAAGATGATCATGTCTATATTTTGAAATCTGATTATATCTGATCTATCTTACATTGTTTTTTTATGTATTTAAATCACAATGCATTAATTTAGAACATTAAAATAATATTCAAGAAATGAGAACTAGGAATGTGACATCATAATATTTCTTAGGTTGTGAACTTTTCTTTACCTAAAATTATGTTTGAAAATACTTAACATCATTCTAAATATGACAAAAATTTCATGTTGATACCATTGAGGAATGTCTCATGATTTTATGTTCATATTTGTACGCCTTGACTAGATGATGTTATCTTTTTGGTCTGAATAAGTTTACTTTTTTAATATGAATACAGTTGAAATACAGAAATAAGTTATAATTGCTATGTGGGGTACTTCTTTCTATCGTATTCTCAACAAAGAAATACTGAAGATTAAACCTGATGATGAAAATTTGTGATCTTATAAATTTGACTAAATTTCAAATTTACGATTGCATTATAAATAATTTTTTTTTAACTTACAAAAAAAATTTGTTAATTTATTTTCATGATGCTGAATTATTTCATTTCACTTTTTTTAAATAAATTTGAGATTACATTGCTGGAATGTTTTTATATCTGAGTCACTGCATACCAAGAATTTTACTTTGTGTCTACCGAACAACTCTCTATATATCAAAAATTGTATATCATTACTCTCGTCATAATAATTAAACAACAAGGAAAACAGAGATAATAAAAAGCATGAGAAAAGAAAACATCTACAAGAGCACAAACAAAGAAAGGGCATGGAAAGACCGAACATATTTCCAACCCATAGGCGAAACAGTTGAGCAAATCAGTCGGATGGCAAAGCACCTCGTAACTCAGAGGTTCAGAAAAATCATCAGCTATGAAGAAAAAATCTATTAGCTGATGTATTGAAAAGCTTGTATATAACGATTGAGGATTTTTTCCTGGTGAATTGAAGATATCATGTAAGAGCCTTCATCTTGCATCATGTGTTAAAAGTTGGAAAATTCTAAGTTAGTCACTAATGATAACAATAGTGAATAAAGAAGTGAATGTTTTCTTAGAGGTCATACTTTGATTAAAGCATTAGAAATAAGTTCAGACACGATTTCAACGGTAATTCCAATTCAGAATCTTGGCTGAGAAATGCATGTTGCGATCTGTGTCATAATGGAAATTGTCCAACGACCACTACAATTTTACAATCTCAATACGGGCTCAAAAACCTTCGGAAATAATAGTTACATTTATATATGCATATCTCATACTTTTGGTATCTTTACTGTGAAGAATTCTCTGATTTTCGCCCACGCCCCAAAGTGCATCCAGAAAAAGCACAGGTCATTTACTGTACATGTCACGGTCCAACCGTACGAAAAGGCCAATGCTCAGCGCAAAATGACACGTCTCAATGTGTTCGACAGCCTCCAACAAATGAGTTTTATACATAACCTAGCTAACTACTTTACCGGCTCATTTGACCAACTGAAAGGGTCTGTCGGCCACTACTGTACCTTGCTTTTCCTTCGTATTCCTGATTAATCTAACTTCCGCAAACCCGCGAAAAGGACTCCCACTCAATCTTATCTTCATAGTTGAAAAATCCGAGCTGACCTTTTTATACAAAAAATAGTTTCAAAGAGATATCATAAGTTTTTATACGTAGAGTCGCTTCATACGCTCTAAAACTCCAGAAGACCGCATCACGGCTGGGCCTTCTTGGGGAAAGGTGCATAATGTGATAAAGTGCACTCGCAGAAAAGAACATAGGCAGGAAATAAAAAGGTCAAGGTAAGTACAGCCAGCATGTTCTGTTAAACTATTCATTAAATACCCATATCCTAAGTCTTTATTTTGTCAACCGGCGTCTCTAATCTCTCCAAAGTTGAAAGTAGCACGTGGTGTTATGCACTTCCAGTGGAAGATAAAAAAAAGTGTGAGAAGAGTCATTCTATTTGTTTCTGATAGTCTTTGGCCTGAGTTGAGAAGTTTTATATTAAAGGTCAGCTTTGGGTCTGCGTGCATATTTGTTTACATATAAGTTTTAAACTTTCTAAATTTCATAAGCTAGAGTTTTCAAGTTTTTCATTTCTTATTTTTATGAATATGAAAAGCGTTATTGCAGATAGAGATTGAGGATTAAATTCTGCATCCAATAAAAAATATTCGTATTTCTGGATGCATGTTGTTGGAGGTTGTGTCAAATCATTTATGTAAAAAGATAAATTTTTTGTTGAAAATTTGATATATAATAATAAATTTATAAATTATAGGTTTGAAAACACATATATTATATCAGAATCTTTGATTTTTCTGAATTGAATAGAAAATTGATACGTGATATAATGGAAATTTCATTTAATACAAATACATCGAATTGTATTTAATGTAAATTCCACTATATTAAAAATGTATGTATAGAAATGATCTTTCTGTTCACATAGAATTGGAATTATATATTCACAATATTCACACGGTTGTGAGATTGCATGAGAGTACATTATGTTAGAAAGTATGGTACCACTCGTTTTCTAGCCTATCGTAACTTAATTAAAAATACATGATATCATCACTTGATATTGTAAGCTAGTACATGTTATATACATATATGAGCGCAATCATAACACTCGATGCAGCATTTTTTAAACCGGAGTAATAATTCTCCGGTTGTTTATACATTGTTTGATTTTGATAATTTAAATATAAGAGTTATTGCAAAACGTGTAACACTGTAACACCATCAATGACTAGATACTATTCTTCCATTTGATGTTTTACATGTTCAGCTTGGAAGTACTTTATAATTGTTACCATGTTACCCCAAAGTACACAAGTCAACTCAGCAGCAGAGTTTACAAATAATAAACTTATAAAACAGATCTTATTGATATAAAATTCTAATATCGATTACACAAACGAAACGTCTTTATATTCAGCATTATAATTTATAGGTGAATGAGTAGATGAGCATGATTCTGCATATTAATCTTTATTGATTCAATGACATATGTAAGTCTTCTTAGAATAAAATATAAATCACATGTGTATCACAGTATGTTCCAAGTCATTGTTATTATTCATGTTATAGTCATTGAAAAAATGTAAATCAATAACTTCTATGCTGATGGGAATGGGAGTTGATTACTTCTTGTGAAGATTTACTTCTTTACGTCATGGTTCCTTCTTTTACATTATTTGTTTGATACGTACAAAATTGAATGCTGATGCTATCCACAAATTTATTGACACCTTACCGGCTTATATTTCTCCCCAAACGTTTGTATTCATTCTAAATGTACATTACTTTTTGCTCATTTTACAAAGGAATTATATTTTTTATATTAATAATCTATTATTTGTGTCATCTTGAATTTCACATTGATATGTTTTGGAAGTGAAAGCAATATTATTTTACACAAAGGAATACACTTTCAATGTCAAGGTGACATTTTCTGCATCTGCGCAAACTTACATGGGTGGACTTACAGTGCACCAATGTGTCTAAAATTTTGACTAAGTTGGGATGGTAGTCCAGCAAACAATTTGTATAAACATTTATAGACTAGTGTAGAAACCGAGATAGACCACACGGTGCAATGGCCAACACGATTCCTTCATAAAAAATCGTTGGATTACATACAAGGGTTTGTTTTTTAGATAAAGATAAATCAATATGGAGCATATCTCTGCATATGATTACTTTGTAAGTTAGACATTTTTCTTTGAAGAGATTCCATATATGTCAAATCCAACATTCTCCAGATGTCTAAAAAGTAATAATTACTATCCCCGTATCCAAGTACTATGCACAAGTGGTACAACCTCAACAGTGGAGGCTAGGAAAAGAAAGAGCTGTTTAAATTGATGTTCGTTTCGTGTTGAGCAACAACGGCACCGACTGATGCCCCAAAAGCTCTGTTCCAGGAGTGTTATCACACTGAAACGTAGATGATAACACCAATCATTTCCATATGCTACTTGAGCAACACAAAGACGAAATTTTCCAACTTCTCACGCTCGTCACCTGTTTCCGACTTCAATCTGAACATTATGGGAAGAAAGTTGTGTACTTCTGCTTCAGATGTTTCCTTTTTGAAAACAGTTTCAGTCCTCCGCAGAGTACGCGGTTGATTTTTCCGAACATATAAGCGAGATCACCTGTAATCCCACGGCCTCTAGGGAAGTCTACTGGGAACTGAAGGCCTGGCTCATGCCTCAAAATTTTTTTGCCACCCTGCCTGCAGTGACGTACCAAGTATTTTCCAATACAAAACTCAGTCCAGGACAATATGACGAAAAAATAGGAGTAGACAGACAAATTGATTCCGGAGAAATTCGAGACAGTACAATCAAAACTTGCAGATGTGGATGGCGATTTATTGCATTATACAGTACGAAGTCGTGAAGGGTGATGACTGAAACATACATGAGCGAAAACAGACATTGAACCTGATGAATGCTTAAGGTCCAAAACTGAAAAGTCTTAAAGCGTATGCAAGGTCCTTCACACATTCAGTAAAAGCAGCATTTCCCTTCTCCACTTTCTGTAAGGACTCGTCCAGAACATTGCCCTTCAAGGCTAGAAGCAAGCTGGCATGATGCTGGAAACAAACAAATGCGAGTGTTTAGAAAGCTGAATGAGATCCACCGACATCTGATTGGCAGCATGCACGAGATTCATATCTCCTTCCAAAAGGTTTGAGTATACTGTTGAAAACTGCTGCCAAAATTTTCTGTTCTCACGCAAATATACGGAGGTACAAGATTTCGTACAAGAGCATACAAGAGCATCGCACCTCAGTAAGTAAAACCTCGGAGTAAGAGTCTGCCTTTTCGGATAGCTCAGCAAGAGCACTCCCTTTGATGGTGTAGTTTAAAGTTTTGACCACTTTGCTCTGATTAACATCACGTTGAAGGTTGAATATTAATCACGCTCTTTCTCGCCACATTCAAAGTGAGATTCAAATTCTCAAGTGTCAACGAAGATCAGAGGTCAACGACAATATGGTTTTCATATCTATGTTCACAAGTCTAGTCGAAGTATGGGATTAAGAAAAGCATCGATATTCTATCATGTAAAGGGTAAGCCGGGCGCACGAAGGGATTCGGCAGTCGTTCACCTTTTCAAGAGTGGGAGGAGCAACAGGGTCAGGTACTTCCAAAAGCCGAACTAGACAGTGATCTTTGTCAAGGGAAATATTCCACTTGCTGCTTGCTATAGTGAATGCCGGGGCCGCGAATGCCATGTCCAGGCAAGTGAACCTCTCCAGCTCTCCATCCTTCATTTATAGAGTTGAGAATTGCTATGGCATGTCAGCAATGGCAAACGAAGTGAACATTGAACTGAAGTAATTACTAGGTGGTTCAAGAGTCGAAGCAATTTACCTTCACTGTGGCCTTTATGTGTTCAGCATCATCATCACTGGGCAACAAATGAATTCCGCACTTGGAGAACCTCTGGTATGAATATTGATTGCGTGAAAGTCATCTCAAAAACTGGTCCCGCACTTCAAAAACATAGTATGACAATGTTCTCAAACACGGATGGAAACACGGCTAGCAATATAAGATAAAATTAAGAAGAAAAAAGACAGGTACCTTCAACATAACTTTTGGTGGAACCTCTTCTGCTGCAAAAGACGTGCATTCTGAAAATACAGGTGCTAAGAGTTTGCACCAGCCGATTCCAATTTCGATAGTGAAAGTCAACAGCGGGGTGACTAAAGTCATCACAGCTCCTTGCTCAGAGATGGGTCGGATGTTCCAAGACAAATATGGAAACTGTCTTACTCGGTTCTGCCTCGAGATCAGGCAGGCAACGAAGAAGGAATATATACTGATCATGTTACGTGATCAAATGTGAAACCCAAGGATACAGATTGATAAATGACTGCGCAAACCATTTGTAAACAGACTGGAGTAAATGATTTTAAGATGAAACTTACATGGATCACAGCCAAAGTTTTGGCTTTGGTGGTCTGAATGGACACTTTCCGTGAATCTGCTTCGTACAGTATGTCGGTAACTCCATCTGTTTGCCAAATTTCTTCTTCCTGGTTGTGAAGGAGGAAAGACCACTAGGCTGAACTGCTTGCTTTGAAGGCAGAACACGATTCCTTTCATGAAGCTGGTTCACACCATATCTCCTACACTTCTAGATTTCAGAAAATAGTTCTTGCATATAGTATTATGTTTCAGTGATGGTTAGCGGTTTGTTGACGTTAAACAATCTATATATACTGAAATTTGTCATCGATGATAACAGATGTCATGACTTTAACAACTTAAAGATAAATGCATGCCCATATGAATCTTCCTTTCCAGATAGATTGTTAGAAAAGTAAAAAAAGATCATACCTCATCCCACCAACCAACCTCTGGATTCGCATTCAAATGTATGATGTAGTCTGGTAGAAAGAAAACGACGCCAATAGGTAACACGGCGCCTGGAGCAGGTGTTGCTTGTCCAATGACAGGTATTGGGTACCCAATCCTAATAAGAGAAGAGAGAGTCGAAGACACTGGCACAGTGCATAATGTATCAGTCGGAAAAGATAAATCGATAACCAGATCCAAATTATTGTGCTCAAAAGAGACTCACACTGATAGGTATGTGATTTGCTATGTGCGTGTTATTTGATCATATTGACAGTTAACTTTAAAGACCGAAAGAAAGACTCTTCTTGGTCTTCGTAGAAGGAGGCTCTTAATGTATACATCTTGAACTGAACAATAAATCTTGTCATCCAAATTAGAGTTCAGAAGGGGAAAACAATTCAGAAAAGAGAAAGAGAACTAACTGATGAGAGAGACGAGGTTAGGAAAGTTCTGATCATGAACAAAGAGAGGTGAAGCATCAACCTTGGTCAAGGGTCCAATTCTTCACTATTTTAGAAGGAGGTGGTATTCCAAGAACGTCTATCACAAACGTTCCGCCCTACATCAAAGGGATATCAAAAAGCGATTACGGGTAAGTGTTGTCAGAGAAATGAATTGTCGTCCAAAGGATTAGAGAGAAGGATATGCAATAGACCGAACATACAAAAAACAAGAAAGCAAGACTACTGGGTCCAAATGAACTAGAGATTAGAAACTATAAACAGTGGCATACACCCAGAGCACAATCTTATTCTTTCTAAAACATAGTCGATCTACATTTGACTTTCCTTGATACATTTCTGCCGCTAATATGTCAGTGCAAATAGCATTCAACTTATGAAAACGCAATTTCGAAGCTGATACGGAAGATCACTTCAGATGTCAGGTATTTCAGACACCTGTCAACCAAGAGCGAGGTTGTGATGTGAACAGAAGAGTAGCATCCTCTGTCAACCTTTCACAACAAATAACATAGAGCGGTCCTAAAATGGTTTAAGGTTCCATCATGACATATTGAATCACATAAAATGTGACCCTTACGTTCGTCAACATAAAGCAGCACCTAGTTTCTAAGATCTTATACAATGCGAAATAATTTCTATAATCAATACCTACAATTGCCATGTATGAGTTCTTTGACTTGGTAATAGGATCTGCCATCCTGTGCTGCAAGCGGATTGCAACATTAGCGAGAGCAAACTGTTTTGGCAGGTTCATTGCTACGTCCACTTCTGGAAGATCCAACATTCGAAACCGTGGGTTCTTTGGATGATTGATCCAAAATGCCAGCTTCCAATTCTGGGCTTTAGCACAAAAGATATTTTGTTGTTTATCCCTCCAATATTCGTGTGATCTCTGCAGATGCAATTAGGAGTAAGTTTTGTCTTCAAGTCCTGCTCGAGTGAAGCAGCTGGATAAAGTCTCGAACTAACTCAAACTTTTCCATGGAGTGATCTGTATCACCAGCTGATATAGGCATGACAATTACACAAACATGCGCTATTACACTTCAGGAGGATAAGAAAAGAAGGAGGCCATAGACAACACCTTACGTGGAGTAGATAGGCTGTGGTTTGATCAAGGCGCCAGTCCGCAAGATCATACAATCTTTGCATGTAGCTTCTATATCTGAAGTTCGGGATCCATAAGCATACTTTCGTCAGGCGTAAGAAAGGTTCTCATTTTGCTCCTAGGTTGACCTAGAGCTGGTAACTTTACGGAAATCACATTCTGACTTTATGTTCCTTGACGTGCACCACCTTACCATGCCTTCTCAATAACTGTGTGTTGATGCCGGCAGTGAGGTGTGATAAGCTTGACAGAAGAGGTCTGACATGGGCCGAAACATTGCAGATACGAAGACTAAAGAGTAAATTATTAAAGAAGAGCTAACTTGAAAGAAAATTAGAGGTTCACTACTGGCATCCACTGTCCAGCAATCATTCAAGCTCTGAATTCATGCGAATTTTGTTGCCAAAGCTCTAGAAGAATCTAGGGAGGGATTTACATTGCAACTCCTTCAGCATCTCCCTTCTGTTCTCGTGTCAAGCAAATTTCTTCTGCTCCAGTTGCAACCTGCATGGAATTAAGAGGAATACTTGGCATATGTATGGACGGTTGATGATCCCGCCGTTTGAGGAATCTTTTGCCCCACGTTGAAACCTCAGCCGCAATTTAGCCTCGCAGGAGAGGCATAATCTTACCATAAAAATGTCGATCAAAGTTTCCATCAGAGGTTCGAGCTCTTGGTCAAAGGTCTCCCTCATTACGTCCAAGAATGTGTTGAGAGCTGCTTCGTTTGATGCATGCGGTAGTCTGGAGCTTTCCAGATACCTTTTCCACTGTATAACATCCTCAGACAAAAATATCTCACTTGTAAAACGCAGAGCACATGTATGACTATATGCGGTCCACAGAGAGAAGTAAAGTGTTGAACGAAGAATAGTCAAGAGATTATACGCTGCAGCAGAAAAACTACAACTCAAAGAAGTTTTCAGTTCAGAGTACACATCGAGGTTTCGACTATAGGACAGTCAAATTTTAGCTTTCCACTCAAAACTTCTGCACCACTTACGGGTGTGAACGTACGTCTGAAGCCTCCTTAGCCTCAGCTTCAATGCGGATGATCTCTGCCTTCCGCCAGTCGTAAAACTCCTTCATACTATTCCTTTCAGCAGTCAAACGATCTTCTTCTGCCTTCACCCATGCATCATGAGTTTCTTTTGCAATCCTTGCCTCCTCCTTGGCCTTAGCAACAGCCTCGACTTCTTTCTGCAGTCGCTCTACGAGCAACTTGCAAATTCAGAAGTCAGAAACTACACTGTCTTATTGCATTATAAATATATTCATTGATGCGCAATACACCTTCAAGCTAAGAACCATCGTCTTAAATGAGAAACTATGCTGGCTAACCTTGCTCCATCCTGCGCGCGACTTCCCTCCATCTTTCTGCGATACAATTCACATCATTTATCATTTCAGAGGCCGAACTGCCGAAACTCGGTAAGTCATGAGCATGAGCTGTGAACGTTTCCTCCGTAATCCCGTGCCGCGCAAGTAGCCATTTCTAATTATTTATCTGGCTTCATCAGCCATGTTTGACAAATCAGCAGAGGAAATCAGAATACCAATTCACACAATAGGATCTGAGTACTGTCTCGTGAATTGTAGTTTGATCTTGCCTCTTTCAATTTTCTTCGCTAAAGCCTTTTCCTTTCTTGTCATCTTGACTGGTCCTCCCTGTTGGTTTCCCTTTTGTGGCTTTTTCTTCGGGCCCATTTTTTCTCTCCTCCGCAATCAATCTGATGATGTCAGAGCTTACAATAAGCTCAAGTTTATTCCTCGTGACCAAACCACACCTAATTGATGTGTCTTTATCTGACTGGATGTTGGGATGGAATCGTGAGCCACGCGTAAACAACGCAGCAACTAGGAACTATTCTCGACAGTATTGAATAGATCGTTTGGTGGAAGACTAAACTATTTGTATTGCTGTACGCCACGAGCCCTTGGAGTTATTGTGATAAAAACAGCGTCGAAGACGAAACGAAATCTAAGATCGACGCAGAATGTATCAGAACATGGGGGAATGAACCTCACGCAATTCATTACCATCTCCCAAATCTGCCCTAACCCCAGGACTGCTTGCGTGGGACGTGGGGTGCGCTTTCCTGTGTTAACTCGAATTGAACTTCGACGGAATTTGGTGTAAGGGAATTCAGTGGTTGGATTCAAAATTGCTCGGATGACCTGAAGACGTTCCCACTTCTATCACATTCTCCACAATAGTAACCATGAAATGCAAATCTCTTCGAGCAATCACGTCATTTCGGAAGCTTGTATGCTTAGTGGTTTCACACCACCATTATACCGAACTTTTCATGTTTCGTTTCAGGTTCACGTCTGGGTGTTTCCATCCTGATTCCCCTGTTTCTCCATATGCACGTCTTCGTCATGACCCCTATCCCGAATTCGTGCTGTTGCGATTGAACAAAATAACTTCGCCGTGGTGACAGCAAACCTTGCTCATCGCGGAACCTACAAGTGGACTTACAGGGCTCGTTCGGACGTGCTGATTTGATTTATGCCGAGCAATCGTGGAACATAGAAACTCGGACCCTTCAACCCCTTACACAATCTGCACAGAGAGCTGAAGGTTGCATTCACTTACGAGCTACTTGTGCAACGCAACTGAGCCCTACAGTCGCATCTTTTTCTACACTCTGGTGCTCAATGTGACCTAGTGATCTGTACGTGAAGCCCTCGTAGCAGTACAGAAGGCAATTGGGGATGCATCAATAATCAGAACGCATGAATACGTGCAGGGTTTTGGATCAATCACCAAATACAAGATGTTAGTTGTTTAAACGCTTTATGCTTGGAAACTGCACGTTTTCCGTGACCACGATCAACATTGGAGCTGCCGACTTCACCTTGCATATTGCATTCTGCTCCATGTAAAGGTTGAGATGTTTTCCCTCATATACCTCTGAAGATCGTTTACCAAGGTCTTCTTGTATTCTTGATATCTTCTTGTATTCTTGATTTCTCCCAGCAAAATCAGAGATGAGAGTTATGTTGACGCGAACAGACCCAGAGCAGAGAGAGTTTAGGGACGAGAATAGTAACTCCTTCGTTGTGTGGCTATACTTTCTATTCACCCTCCATGTTTTTGAAAAAACATGATCTTTTTCAAACGATGTTCCATTGGTTACTAAATTCAACACTTTGGAGTATTGTTATAGGAGACATATTTTTGTGGCCTTGAAACTATTAGAATTTGAAATAAGATTTTATACAATATATCCATATGGACGGGTTGAGCTTTTATAATCCGATTACTTTGTTCGTACCTAGTAAATAATTATGGAGATTGGAAAAAGAAAACTTTGAATGTTTTATGATGTTAGAGATTTGGCGGTTATCTTTTCTCACATGCAAGATGGTATGTGAGACTCCGAGTTTTGCATGCCTATATATGCATGATTGAGTACCTAGTGTTTATGTAGTTCCTATCCTGGTAGTCTCACTTACTCTCATGACTGCTCGAGAGCTCATTGATTGAATATATTTAATAGGTCATTGTTTCTTTACAAATCAAGAGATAAAGATTTTATGAAAAACAGTAAGAATGTACCATTTGGTTCGTGCAAGTGAGGAGAATGAGCACATAGACATTTAACAATGACTTGAATCACGCACGACACTACATTTTTTTGCTAAATGTATCAAGTTGATCAGTTGCAAGAGATTAATTTTATTATCAGTATTTTCAATGCTATTTTGTGATGGAATATTACACTAGATACACTAATTCAATAAATAATTTTAATTATTAACCATAAAAACAAGGCTCGTTAAGAAGACTTTATTGCACGTGTCATTAGTTCTATGACCATAAAACATAGTTCACACTTCAACAAGATCTAGGCTTAAGCTTGCCACATCATGTAATAGACATAGACATAAGTGGTTTAGAAGAAATTTCTCAACATTAGATGTTTTGTAGCTGTAGGTTAATAATCTCTTTAAATTTGTTTTCAGAGAGCTCAGGAAGGTTGTTTTTTCAAAGCTCAATTATTTTGCAAGGTTTTTTATGTTTTAATTTTTTTCTAACATGTCTTCTCATAAAAGTGAATCACAGTTTCAGTATACAACTGATATTCAAGAAGAAAAAGCTTTTGAAGTTTTGTGATCAGTATAATCTATAGTATGTGTATCATTCGCTACGACTTCGTAGCGAATGATACACATACTATAGATTATACTTATCACGTAATACATGCCTTTGAATATGTAACTATTGAGTTTCATGTGTGACAAAGTGTAAAGTTTGAATTTTCCAAGATATTTGTCTTCAATTGTAGCTCTCAAATTGATATTATAAATCACTATGAGAATCTTAGATAAATTTCAAATCTTTAAAATATGATGCATATGACAAACTTGTGGAGATCAATAACACAAATAATAATTAGCGTTATGTATTTAGAACCAGTGTAATTCAACGTTTTTATGACCTAAGCGTGTTCGCTGTGGCAACATAGTAAACATGACATGCAATCAATTTATTCAACATTGATTGCTGTAGCCCAGTATACTTGCATTTCTAGCTTGCCAAAGAATTGTACTAGAGAGGGTGAAGGGATTGATATACAAAGGAAAAGAAGGTTTCATGTACTTTGAGTTGGATTTGAGTATTTTGTCACGGATGTATTGTATGTTATGAGGATTTTTTTCATTGTTATGTTTTCAGATAAATAAGTTATGATAGTCTAATACTTATGCTTTAAGCATATTACAATATCTACAAATGTAATCAAGGCCTCATATGAAGAGACTCCAAGATCAAAGACATGTCTAATGAACATATTTTTATCAAAATTTTCTGTTGATTTTCTCAAATAAATCGAATATTGCATTGATTACATAAAAGTTGCAACTTATGATGCACTAGAATTTTTTCTCCAAACAAAATTTCGATCACATTCAGAATATTTTTTCTCGTAGTTTAAACATTTATCAAAACTCATTTCAAGTGCAACATTTTTCTTCACCACTGTAAGAAACTTTAGTGTAAAACCAGAAGCGACCAAGCGAACGCCATTCAGAATCCCGGACAATAAAAAAGGGAGTGTCGTTCATAATCAACACACAATATTCCTACAGCCACATAGATTAAGAACTGCATCTCGAAGGAAAAAGTGGGATGCGGATCAAGACTGTACATGATCGTGAAGAAAAACACGAAGCACCGTTCTCGGCGAGGGCCGAGCGGTTGAAGGTTTGCGGCCAAGTGAGGGAAAGACACCATCATCCATGAAAGGGGCCTGGAAACGGCCACGGAGCCTTCGACGAAGGTCTGCTTTGGGATAATGTAGCCTCAGGCTCGGCATGAAGCTCGACTGCTCCATGCAGGTTCGAAATCCGGCTAGTAAAAAGTCATTGTCCCACTATTCTCAGCTAGAGGATCTGCGAATCTGACATTCTCGAGAGAAAGCGACTTCGGAACCCGATGCAAAGATCCGCCTGAGATTCGATTTGCAGGTTCGGGAAAGTAAACTGTGGCCGATCCGACAAGGGAGTGAGTGAGTCATTTGCTTCTGACCCTCCCCTGAATTGTAGAGGATTACGTCCGTCAAAATATCAGACTCGAGTGAATGATCGATCAGCTATGCCGCGCTAGAAGAGAGAGGTTTCTACATAGTGTGGGATTCTCGGGTGGTGGCGTAGTGTGGAATTTGGCGCTGTAAGAGGGTTGAAGGCTGCTTGGAGTCGATAACGATTGGGTAGGCCATGGAGGCCTGTGTTGCGTCAGTTGTATCTGGACCGTGTACTCTCGGCGGAGTGAGGAGGAGCAATGGTCTGCTTCCGTTGCGGAATTCCAGGAATTTGGTCGCGCGTGCAGTTGCCACTCCTGCTACTGAGAGCTCGGAGGACCGTGGAGGGGCTCAAGTGAGCAACGAATTCCCTCAAACTTCAGGACAGGAGTCTTTAAGGCTTGAGCCTGCCAAGAAATTGAAAAAAAAGTCGTCACAGTGGTCGACTGGAAATGCTCCTGGAGAATATGGAGGCCCTCCGCTGGAAACAGGACTCCGGAAAATGTGGGGTGGTGATAATTCAGACCCGCTTCAATCCGATGGCGAGTATATCTGGAAGAAAAAATGGCAGCCTTATGTCGAAACTCCTCCCGCGGAAATGGTCCCGCCTGCAGCCGTGAAGGTTAGAACAGAAAATTGTAATGTTCAGTCGTTAACACAGTCACGCAATTGCTCTCTGTTCTGAAATTGCATCAAATTGGATAGTATGGGAGATGAAAGGCAAGTCGCTAACTTGACATTGATCCCAAATTTGAGAGGATCACCCTTAACAACTTTAGCTTATGGTCCCTGGCTCATATTTTTGATACATGGTGGTGGCCCTGTGCAGGACAAGGAACCAGATTCGGGCTTTCTCAGTCTTAACAGAGCAATTGCACTGGACAGGTTGGTCGATCGGATATATCATAGTCACATATGATTAGTGTTTTCGCATTGTAAGGATTTTTTCGGACGTTGAATTGAGTTACAAACGTATTACTGTTGTGACACAGTAGGCATGTATTGTAGACAAATGTGAGAGCAGACAGCTGAAAGTCCGAGGTCTGTGTTGGCAGTATGGATGTGGATCTGAGTAAGGAGTTGATGCGCCCATCCAAAGCCACACTCGAACGGCAAGTTCAAGAGGCCCGCAATGTTGAGGCTGCAGCAGAGCAGGTATTTCCTTCTCCCTTTATCAAAGAACAAATTGAAGGCAAAATTACGACTACCATGTAACAGCGCAATTACGTTGTCAGGAGGTTGCGTCGAAAATCTCTTCGTGCAAGAGGTTTACCATTTTGTGATAGTTGTCTGGTGGTCTCATAGCAGAGATTGCAAAAGGAGAAGGTGAAGTGGCGTTTTGCCCCTTCCAAACGCGAGGAGATTAGGTGGACGTCAGCTCGGAAAGCCACCACGGGAGGCATGGTAGCTATTTTACTTATCATGCACAGTTGAACTCAAAGAAACCCGTTTATCTGTTGAAGAGAGGTGTATATTAAGAGAGACCGTAAGTGTATCCTTGAGTTTTTAGTTACTGGACCTGAGTTGCGGTCAATTCTCCAGGAAAAAATGGCCCGTGAGCTCGGACGGAAGCAAATAGACCCTAAGGTAGCTGCAGAGGCGGAAAGGATTCGCTACCTAAAGGTCAGTCCTGAAACATGTGATTCTTTACCTGTTTTTAAAGATTTTTTTTGGGTACACGTTACGTTTTCTGTTTCTTATTTCCTTCTCCCTCGGTATGTTGTGCATATATTGTAGACCAATATCTTCGATTTAATGTTGTGTCTGTTCATTCCGTCGATCAGCTCAAGCGAGATCTTCAAATTACCACGCTTGTCATTGGAGGATTATCGGCTGTGGGTACTTACTTTGCGTATTCACCACAAATTGCTGCAAGGTACTTTCCCAAACTTTCTTTCTACGAGAAGCAACCATAGTCTCTCTTCTCTTCTAGCTTGAAGTGAATCTGAATGATAGTCCTTCGAGACCTAAGATTGCTACTTTTGAATATCAGCATAATTATTTTTTCGTTGTTGGAGCTGCGTGAAAGTCTTTATGGTCTTTTAGTACTATTTTCTAACAAGTGAAAGGGACGTGGGTTGTACAGCTATGGAGCAGGGCTGGTAGGTGCACTGGTTTATGTCCGTATGCTGGGAAGTAGTGTTGATTCAATTGGAGCGCAGGATGCAGGATCAGCGGCAAGGTAGGCCTTTTGTATCTTTCAGGAATCATATCAAGTAAACAATCTGTCTTGAATTTAGAATTTCCAACTTTAGGTATAACTGCTGCGCTACGAAATACTAGAGATGATTAGGAAGATGAAGCTTGTCTAACCTAGTCTTTCACTGTTGTCGGTGGAGCAGAGGAGCTTTGGGACAACCACGACTGTTGGTACCTGTTGTCCTTGTGATGGTCTACAACCGATGGAACGCGTACGTTTCTAAAATCTGTGAACTTATCAATTTTTTGCTCATTAACAATCTAGTGATTGAATGATGTTTCTGATTGAGCGCTCATGTAGACAATGGAACTCACAATTGGACATTTGGATCTTCAGGCTAGCGGTGCCCGAATTGGATGTTATGAGTTTGCAGCTCATTCCCATGCTTGTGGGGTTCTTTACATACAAAGCGGCTACTTTAGTGGAGACATTCAAAGAACTACTGCCGAACCAGGCTGAAGAAAGTCTTTGAATTACAGATTTAGAACAATCATTTGTCGAACTTTTATCACCTACCAAAACGAGTAAAATTTGTCAGATAGACCTTCACCGGCATTTACTTCTAGTTACAGTTGCCTCAAGGTGCACACATTGTTTCGTTGTACATATAGTGCGTGACATGGTCGCGATCCCCCTTCCAATCGATGCCGGCACTTTCTCGTGATTTGCATGTAGGCTAGATTGCATCCGGATCAAAACAATGATACCAACTTTTCTGGTCTCAGTGTAAAACTCTGCCACTTAAAACTTTCATCTTTCAGTTGCTTAAAATCTTTAATCTCCAGCAGATTCCCTATATGTGCATCACAATTCTGACTGAACTGTTTCAACATGAACTACACACTCAAAATGGGCCACGGGTTCCAATCTCAGGATGGAGTTTTGGAGAATTACGACTGGATACATTTCATTCTAATTCAGGGAGCAAGCAATTACAGCAATCTTCTAAATCTTGCCCACACCATATACTCCACATCTTGCATTCATAAGTCTGTCGACTTTGGCCAAAGAAAGCACGTTAGGTTGGCATGCAGAGCACCCCACGTGCAGAACTTTTAGTTACCACTGAAGAAACGGCATAATTTGCACGTCTAACTTTGTGAAATCCCAGATTGTGCGCTATCGAACTACTCAACGGACAGACACGATCATCACGGAAAACTCGTGCTTTTTCATTTCTATATATGAAGGGCCGAAAAGTTTGAGAATCGGACAAATTGGTTGAAAACAGTTCCAGCTTTCTTCATCATCCGAGCAATTTTCTTCTTCCGGTTTGCTCCTCTGGAATCAGGCCCTAAAAGAGGTACCAACTCCTCGTCACTTCTACCAAAGGTCATGGAAGGAGGCATGGACTTCTCTTCTTTAACAGACTGGATCAATCTTGGATGAACTAAATCAACCGATCTGACCCGGTTGGCTATTTCTTTGGAAGCCAGTGGAACCTGCCCAACCAGACCATGAGATGCGCCTGGTTGATTGTTTGTATCAAGGGAGAGCGAAGAGGAAGTAGATGAACTCTCCGAAAAGTCTGGAGTAGAACTCTCCGAACGTGATGGAGAGAGATCATCACTATCGCTATAATCAAGAGAAGAAGCAGAGAGCGAAGGGTCGACCTCGATGTCTACGGTAGTATTGACAGCACCTTCACACTTGCGATCGTTGTTGGTGCCTGCACCACCACTTCCTCCTGAAGAACCAGAAGTACAGCTGTTTGCATTGACGACTTCTGAAAAATTAGAGAGCTCGTGAATCGAGATCCTGACAATTTCTTCTCGAACTCTAAACACAATATGAGCGAACCTTCTCGCCAGGGAATTACGAGACAAATATATATTACCACAATCATAACCTTTATCTCTCAGGGCAAGGCACTCAATTCTGACGGTCTTCCCATCCCGTTTGTTGAAGATTGTCACCTTCACGAACGACTTGACCGGAGTCATGGTCATAAAGTCCAAGCAGCTTTCTCCCAGGTTCGCGTCTGCCATGCGGAATCGCTGCGCTTTTCTCGAGTTGCTTTCGTACACCTGAATGTAGAAGCCGTAAGGTGTGTCTTCCATATAGATCCGAGCAATGGTCATGGAGCCCAGAGATATTTTGGGTGGATCACAAGCGCCAGGCACTAACTTTTGATCCGGAGATGAACTTGTACCAGGTTCTGCTTTGCGAATGCTTCCAGCAGAACTTCCAAGGTTCTGTGAAGCTTCGGATGAAAATTTCCTGGAGTTCTCCATTTTGACACTACCACTCGAAGATATAATCATGAATGTGTAGAAAGAACTAATCACAAGAAGCTTTACGGACTTTCGACAAGCTCAAGAGAGAATGATAGACTTGGCTAAGGTTGATGTCATACGATGATAAAGAAGATAACTTTCTCGTGATATCACTCCCCATCAGTCAACGCGAAACTGAGATACGAGAATATTGATTTTAGACAGTGGATGAAAACCTGAAACACCTTGAAGTAGTTGCAAATCCCAGCCATTGAGTCTCGAGCAATTGGACACAATCATGTCTTGCTGTACACACAAGAAATGAAGTTTTCCTATCAGCTTCCAGGATAACAAAGGGAGACTTATAGTCCATCGCCTCAAAGATGACTGTCATTAGACGTCATCCAGACTTGTTGCTGTTGGTTACCTTAACGTAATGGTGGCTAGATATGAACGGTTAGAATCAAATGAACCCCTCCATAAATGCTGAACATTACCTAAGGTTCACAGCCAAGCGACTAAGTTGTTCAGATGAGTTTGCGAGTACTTTCAGATCGTAATTTAGTAGCTTCTTGACATGATGCTCAACTGGTCTACCTGTACGGACCGGACTGCAATATGTGGCAAGTTGCGCATTCCGTTGAGACTTTACGTTTCATCTTAGAGACTTTTGAAATTCGACTTCGAGACTTTTTACTACAACACTTCTTCGAGGGCAGTTTGCGGGCAAATGGGCTACATTCGCATTGCTGATGCCCGCTTGGATCCCACATTCAAAATTCAGACTTCTAATTTTCCGATTAGAACGTTTCTAGCTGATCATTAACGGAGCAAGTTATTCCTCTTCATGCTTTCACTGTAAATAGCTAGTCAGTCTCTTTCGGCTTGAAAACCTAGCTCGTTGTCAGAGTTTCCAGTGAATGGATTGTAAAGAGGGAGAGTGAAGACCCTGTAAGGCTGAAGGTACATTAAGCCGAATGCATTCTTGACAAGTGAACCATCGCCGTGGAGGAACAAATTGCCACAACAGCAACATTCAGGCCTGTACATGAGACTATCTGAAAACATCTTCGAAATCTTGCACTGGCTTCAGTCCTATAATCACTTGACTTTCCCGTGACTTTAATTTATATCCATCCATTCCAAGGACGTTTGAACTTCATCTTGAAAATTATAAAATCTATATCAAGTATTTCAAAGACAACTTCAAGGCAACAAATTAAGTGAAGACAAAAAGGTCGACGCAGGTGATACTGAAACTTAAAAGCACTGAGAAAACTTCATGCTTTGGAGGTTAAACGGGGCGATTAACAATGCACGAAGAGATTATGTTGTACTTTTGTTACAGCATGGACATACAGAAGGCATGACCACAACCACGCGTGCTCCAGTTTACCCGAATCGAGACAAGCATTCCGAACAAACGGGGAAGAATATTAGAGTCGTCCTTTGCGGAGATAAAGAAATATAATGCAGTTCTCCCCGTTACCACTTCTGTCCACAGTGTACCATGAAAGAAAGAAAGTTCGTGATTTCCTTATCACTAGAATGGAGCGTGACTGCGAGAATGGGAATTTCAAGGTTTCCGCAGATTTATCCTCTTTTCAAGATTCTCTAGGAAACCACAAGACCTTTTCAATTCAGAATGTTTGAGTCAATTGAAGTGCATTGTGCATTTACTGGCCACGACTTAGTCCTTAGTGGCTTTCGAATCTGTACATCATTGTCAGAGGTCTTAGTTTTACTGAAACTTTTATACTTTGTCAATTGTTTCATCAGTCTGATGAATTAATTACACGATGAGGTAGAAGAATCACAAATATACCGTTTGTAGAGGTAGATGTCTGCTATTACAATGATCAGATTCGCGTGCCAGTGCTCTCATACTAATTTATTGAAATGCAACTCTCTCTCTACATATATATTCATTTAAATGAGAACTATTGCAATAGACTTATCAACAGATAACTCTGACAACATCTGAATAAAGACAATCACAGCCTACATTCTTTATGTCTCTGCAAACTCCAAACCTGACCTTGTAAAAACTCAGTATAATGTATGGATCAGGCCTTTCTGGGAAATAAGACATGAAGTGAAACTGCAGACCTTGCTCTTATGAGAGTGACCTACTTCTAAGTATCGATCAAAATAATTGTGGATCTCGGTTGTCTTATTTGTCAAAATTCAATCCGTAGTAGTTTGGAATTTATTTTCTCCTGCGCACAATGCAAAAATCCAACCAGATTTTCAAGACCATTGAATATTTCTAAGTTTGTATCCGCTTCAGTGAATGTCTTCCAGGATCTTATATCTTTACAAATGTAAGCATGTTGATGTTTACATACACCAAACCGAGCTTGGAACTATCATGCAAACTTAGTTGCAATGGTCACGCAAGAATTTTGATAGCATCATTAAGGTTCATGACTCATTCACTCCAAAGTCAAATGAATAATTTGTTTTAGTCTAGAAGATTATCTTCACGGAAAAGCTTCATTCTGACCACGTTTTATCCACAGAGGGATGTTGAACAAATGTTCTCCATCTAGCAAATCAAAGTGCAGATATGTACATCAGTGTCCCTACGATCAATGTACATCCTTATATTGAAATTGAAACTAATCAATGCCATTCCATTTAGAACATTTTGAATGAATTACAACACTTGAGGTAAATTTTCACTTTTAGTAGAATTGCACTTTTATCCAAAAGATGGAAGTAGAAGATAGATCACGCAAAACATAAGAAAAAGTATTACTGAATCAACCTCGGATAAATTATTTCTTCATGGGAAACTTATCGCAACACCTCAGATTTCTCTACTACAAATCTTTAGCTGTTTTGAGCTTCACTAACCTGTCTTCTGCGAAATTTCTACTAATTCTTTACTATGTTATGAAAATTGGCGTTTAATTCCACCATTGTCACTTAACGCTGTGATAGAATAAATTTTCGTGGTACAACTTGATGTATACATGGTGTTCATGAATTAGCAAATCATTAAACTATAGTTATGAACATACATTGTGACACGGGTACATGCTAGTCCGCTGAATATCCGAAACGAAAAGGATGGAACTTAGGCACATAGGGTTTGTTCTATACTTGTGACGACTCTTGGAACGAATCAAATTGTCTAATACAGATTTCAACCTCACTCATTCATGCCTTACATTCACTATTCAGATAACTCCCAATTCATTCTACCCGTGAGCCCAAAAACATAAAATTTTCACTGTCTACCTAAAAGGTAAAAAGAGTTATCTTGAGTAGTTTATTTCACTTCCAGAATACATTTACACAAAAAATTTCTTATGAGATGTAAAAGATATTACAAAGCATCTAGAAAACAGTGTATTTGTGGATTTGCAACTATTGATCAGAATATGAATCCCTATATATGAGGATGTGTACACTCTCGAGTGATTTGGAGGTTGAATTCGAAGACTTACAATGCACAAGAGATTGTGCATTGTTCTTTGATTTTATTCATTTTCATATTTTCAAATCAAATTTGTAATAAGATTATAATGATAATTTATTTCAACAAAAGGTCATCATTACTTTTAGACATTACTTGTTGAAAATGTATAAATAACAATCAGATTAAATGATGATTCTTTGGATGCTATCTTGTATACAATTTGATGTACATATCTGATACATATTTAGAAAAACATGTTCCAGCATTGGGATGCAAATTTTTGGGAGCATAAACAGTTTCTCCAAATTTCGAATTTGCAAATTACAAGACTCTTAAATTAGCAGACCGGATTTTTTGGAAGATCATTCTTCAAGTCGGACAGTTTTGAAACACGCTTTTAATATCCCAACATATGCTGTATTAATCTTTGTCGGCGTTCAATTGCAATATTGTTGTATTCGAATATACTCCAAAATTATGTAATTTTTTTTCCTCTTTGTCCTCTTTTTCCCCCTTACCTATTTACCGTATGCATCGGACTACATAAGTAAAGAGCGCTTGGGTTAAGCATGGACTTCTTCTTTAATATCGTTAGCACCAAAAGTGAATGTATTGAATAGAAAATCCACGAATAGTCCGGAGGGGCCATGGGACACAGATGCAATATCGAACCCAGTACAGAATTCCGTATACCAACGAAGGACAACACTGTGTGTAGATGTCCGTAGATTAATAAATAATTTTGTTTTTCCAGTCGAGATCTGTAAGTAGTTTTGATATCACACTTTTTCTCCCCGTTGCGTCCTAGATTGACTCTACGTACGATGGCCATCCGACGAGATACGCAGAAAGGTTAAGCTTTATCGTGAAGTGTTGTACGACTTAGAACTCGCATAGAGCTCGGAGGTTTGAAAGTGTATGTCCGTGCACAGTTCGAAGAAGACGACGGGAAATGTGTTGAATAGTCAACAATGAGGAAAATGATCGATCCTTCTGTACTGAACTGATCGTTTAGCCTTGAAGGTCTTGCAAGACGATCGGCCCGCTGCTTCTGGTCTAGAGTCTTCGAGGTATCGAAACTATCCAACTTTTAGAGGTAATTTCGAACTCATGGGGCTTTCGGAGCTTTGCTCAGAGGAACGCGCAAGGAAGAAGGCAAAGAAGGAGCACCCTTCCAAGAAGAGCGACCTCGACGAAGCTCTCAGTGTGAGGACAGCGTGCCTGGATGTAAATGTTATTACAAATTATGAAAATAGAGCGATTCGCGGCGATTGCTTAAAACTCATGAGACGACTTCCTTCGGAGATTTTGGATTGCACCATCACGTCTCCGCCGTATAACAAAGGAGGAGATGTAATTGTGTACAATTCGATTTCGGATAACATGCCTTGGGATGTCTACATGGCCGAACAATTAGCTATATTGAATGAACTCTACAGAATTACTAAGCCCGGTGGACATCTGTGGTATGTCCATCAAGTCCAGCCCCGTCCAGCTCGACTCTTTCATCCGATGGAATGGATAATCAAATCGCCATGGACGGTAAGTGTGCATGAGATCGATGTTTCCGATCATTTAAAGTACTGATGTAATCAGGTCAATGTAAACAACTGGATGGAAGAATTGTTTCAGTTTGGGTAATGTTTATGTGACAGGTGCGACAGGAAATTATGTGGAAAAAATGGGGCTGCCAAGACCGATCGCTGTATCGATTTAAGTGCTTTGAAGAACGCATATACTGGCTGAGAAAGGAGCCCGGCCCTCCTTTTGAGTTAAAACGAGAAGTAGCAAAGTGGGGAAACCTCTGGGTTCGTCCGGATCAATCGGTCCATCTGCAAAGACGCTACAGACATCCTAGCACATTTCCCTTGTACTTGCCCTTGGCAATTCTTTATGCGATGAATTTACCGCCTGGGTCTCTGGTGTTCGACCCCTATGGAGGAACAGGTACCACAGCCAAGGCAGCCCAGGTGTCAAATCACTGGTACCTGACTATGGACGTTGACAAGGATTACATCACAATGACGAAAGACCGATTGAGAGATACGGTGTATGAAGACGAGTGGTGGATTACGGTGATGATGAAACAGATTAACGACGGTACTTTGAACCTTTCTCAAGACATTCGGAAATCGGTGCAGAAGAGAGTACTGTCGTCGACGTACTTAGCCGATGATGCACAGAGTGGGGATCACAGATAACCACAGTACGGTGCATGATATTTGATCTCAAATTTCCTTTTCGAACTTCTGAGTCAGACGAGATACTGAAACGGATTGCGCAGTTGTGCATACGCTTGATAGGAAAAAGATGATAACCGACATATTTTTTGATAATGGGGCATTCGATAGAAGATTGTCTCAATAACAAATGGCTGTAACATCCTGCATCCTTCTTTATTCAAAGAACGAGGTAGTAGATTCACATTTTACTGTCGAAGTCAATTAGCTTCGACAGCAAAATGTGGATCCGACATTTTGACATGTCAGACAAAGTCGGACTTATCGGACTTATGAGGATTCAGTCTAGAACACTCGAACTACTGAAAGAAGCATGGATTTCGACATAGTGTAAAAGGTTCGAAATGTTTTCGGGACAACTATCTTATATATAACAAATATTCATTCACTCTCTTTGCAAAACGTAAGAATTATGTCATATTTGTAGTTTTTTATATTCTTGAATTCATCATAAATGAGCATTAGATCTAATTGGTGTGAAGTTAATTCTGTAAGAAAAAGTTTCTCTTGGTCTGTTCTATAAGTCTATTAGCTCATTGCTATGCTGTTTTTGTCTTTATCCATTATTTGTTTATGCCATCATATATCAATTTGCACTTGATCTTGGTATTCTATATACAAGTTTCATTATTTGTTTTTGCCATCATATATCGATTTGCAGTTGATCTTGGTATCCTATATACACGTTTCAAACATGATTGTAATAATCTTTAATTTTTAGAATATTGCTGACACAATTTTTAAATTTCATCATGAGTTAAAATTATTTGATTCATCGGATTGTTTTATTTTTTGTGAACAGATACTCTTTTACATTTTTTAGAAGTTTTAATAATTGACTGTATATTGTTGGTTCAAGGTTTGGATCTATCAACTTTGAAATATGCAATTTAGACATTGTCAGATTGAGCATATAGTCTTTATGTAATCCGATACACTCTATAATTTGTATCATCCCACAAAAATTTAGATTCAACTTATATAATTTGACAAACGTAAAATCTGCAACTTCTATTTTTTGGACTAACGTAACTCAAATTTTTCTTTGAAACATCTTTTTGTACGTTTTTTTGGTGCTTCAAACAGTTTACTTTGATAGTTTTTTCATCCAATTTTGATTTAAGTACTCGAAGAACTACTAAGCTTGGTACATACTTGCCAGAATGAAATGAGCTCAATGAAAATTTTTACTTTAAAATAAAAATGCAAAAGGTTCAAATTAATTAGCAAGATGTTCAGATCAATTCTATTTCTATAAATCAAATAATATGATTCTTAGATTTACAACTTGAGTATGTTGCAACCACCAAATCGAAGCTACCATAATTCTAATATTTACCACAATACTTTTGACTTTCTTCAAATTACAGTTTTTAAGCAGTTTCCTCCACTCTCGAAACATCCACCAAGACATGACAGTCATTACTATCACATGAAAGATCCAATTTTAATCAAGCCAAATCCACCTTGTGACTCAAAGACTATTACTTTTCTGCACTAAGTACTCTCCACCTTAGCCGTAACCTCCAATTTTCAACTTCAAAAACTGAAACCTTTTGGAACCCCAATTATAATTCTACCTCCTTGAACCCTAGGTATCGTAACAGCGCTATCGGCCCTATCGACGCAATCGGTTTTAACTGTTGTGCAGTATTCAACACTCTGGTAATCACAACATAAGTCGTGACAATCATAAAAATGATTAAGGCTGTTGATAGTTCATGAATGAGGATGATTTAAATTGGAAATTGTCTTATCTCTTAGAATTTTTACTAGAATTAATAATGGCTGCAATTAGAAGCTCAGATCCAAGGCGTTATAATTCAAAAGTGATTTATACCTTGAACAAAATGGTGATCTCAAGTTATAGTCCATTTGATCAAATCCAGTGAATTCGGCTTGAAGCAATAATGCAGAAATAACAATTCTCCACAAATTTTGTTCCAAGAGATTCACTCACAACTTTTGCGTCAAGAAGAAAGTAGTGATCACTCTCTATGCCATGTGAACGTGATTCATCATCTGCATTCATTACACAAAAATATGGTCTTGAATATGTAGATTTTTATGGCTGATATCTTTTATGTCAAAATTAATAAATTACTTAACCCAAAGAAATGTTTTTTGATTTAAATGGATATAGGTTTTTTTTGAATACCATTAATCGAACTTAAATATCATAATAACATTTTCTTTTTTGAGCATAAACAGTTTTCCAAATTTTGCATTTGCATATTACAAGACTCTTAAGTTAGCAGATCGATTTTTTCTGGAAGATGAGTCTTCCAGTCGGACAGTTTTGAAACATGCTATAATATCCCCACATATTCTGTATTGATTTTTGTCGGGATTCCATTGAAATATTGATGTATTCGAATGTACTCATAAATTGTGCAATCTCTTTTCTTCTTTGTCATTAAGGACGTTTACATATTTACCCTATGCACTACATTAGTAAAGACCGCTTGGGTTAAGCATGGACTTCTTTTAAAATATGGTTAGCACCAAAAGTGAAGGTATTGAAAATAAAATCCACGAATAGTCCGTAGGAGCCATGGGACACAGATGCAATATCGGACCCAGTACAGAAGTCCGTATGCGAACGAAGTACAACACTGTGTGTAGATTTCCGTAGATTAATAAATATTTTTGTATTACCGGTCCAGATCTGTAAGTAGTTTTGATATCACACTGTCTCTCCCCGTTGCGTCCTAGATTGTATATAGGTACTATTGCGTCCATTACGTACGATTGCTATCCGAAGAGGCACGCAGAAAGGTTAAGCTGTACCGTGAAGTGTTGACGACTTAGACCTCGCATAGAGTTCGGAGGTTTGAAAGTGTATGTCCGTACACAGTTCGAAGAAGACGAAAGGAAACGTGTTGAACAGTCAACAATGAGGAAAATGATCGTTCCTTCTATACTGAACTGATCGTTTTCGCCTTGAAGGTCTCGCAAGACGATCGGCCCGCTGCTTCTGGTTTAGAGTCTTCAAGGTGTCGAAACTATCCACCTTTTAAGCTTTTTTCGAACTCATGGGGCTTTCGGAGCTCTGCCTAGAGCAGCGCCCAAGGAAGAAGGAAACGAATGAGCAACCTCCCGAGGAGAGCAACCTCGAGCTCGAGCTCGACGAAGCTCTTAGTCTTTGGACAGCATGCGCGGATGTAAATGATATTAAAAATTATGAAAATAAAGCGATTTGCGGCGATTCCTTAAAACTCATGAAACGACTTCCTTCGGAGATTTTGGATTGCACCATCACGTCTCCGCCGTATAACAAAGGAGGAGTTCAATTTAAGTACAATTCGATTTCGGACGACATGCCTTGGGATGTCTACATGGCCGAACAAATAGCTAATTTGAATGAGCTGTACAGAATTACTAAGCCCGGTGGACATCTGTGGTATGTCCATCAAGTCCAGCCCCGTCCAGCTCGCCTCTTTCATCCGATGGAATGGATAATCAAATCGCCATGGACGGTAAGTGCGCATGAGATCGATGTTTCCGATCATTTAAAGTACTGATGTAATCAGGTCAATGTAAACAACTGGATGGAAGAATTGTTTCAGTTTGGGTAATGTTTATGTGACAGGTGCGACAGGAAATTATGTGGTCAAGATCGGGCTGTATGGATGTATCGCAGTATCGATTTATGTGCTTGGAAGAACGCATATACTGGCTGAGAAAGGAGCCCGGCCCTCCTTTTGAGTTAAAACGAGAAGTAGCAAAGTGGGGAACCATCTGGGTTCGTCCGTATCAATCGCTCCATCTGAATAGACTCTATCCACATCCTTGCACATTTCCCTTGTACTTGCCCTTGGCAATTCTTTATGCGATGAATTTACCGGCTGGGTCTCTGGTGTTCGACCCCTATGGAGGAACAGGTACCACAGCCAAGGCAGCCCAGGTGTCAAATCACCGTTACCTGACTATGGACGTTGACAGGGGTTATATCACAATGACGCAGGACCGATTGAGAGTCACGGTGGATGAAGACGAGTGGTGGATTACGGTGATGATGAAACAGATTAACGACGGTACTTTGAACCTTTCTCAAGACATTCGGAAAGCGGTGCAGGAGAGAGTACTGTCGTCGACGTACTTAGCCGATGATGCATGAGTGGGAAACACAGTTAGCCACAGTACAGTGCATGATATTTGAACTAAAATTTCCTTTTCGAACTTTTGAGTCAGACGAGATACTGAAACGGATTGCGCAGTTGTGCATACACTTGATAGGAAAAAGATGATAACCGACATATGTTTTGATAATGGGGCATTCGATAGAAAATTGTCTCAATAACAAATGGCTGTAACATCCTGCACCCTTCTTTATTCAAAGAACGATGTAGTAGATCCACATTTTAGTGTCGAAGCTAATTGACTTCAAAGTAGTGGACTTATGGGGATTCAGTCTACAACCCTCGCGCCACTGAGAGAAGCATGGATTTCGTTATTGTGTAAACGGTTTCAAATTTTTTTCGGGACAACTATTTTATATATAACAAATATTCATTCACTCTCTTTGCAAAACGTAAGAATTATGGCATATTTGTTGTTTTCTATGTTGTTGAACTCATTATGAATGAGCATTAGATCTAATTGGCGTGAAGTTAATTCTGAATCAAAATGTTTCTGTTGCTCTGTTCTATGAGTCTACTAATCATTGCTATGTTGTTTTTGTCTTTCTCCATTTGTTTTTGCCATCATACATCAATTTGCACTTGTTCTTGCTATCCATATGTATACGCCTCAAAGTTGATTGTAATGGTCTTTGCCTTTTAGAATATGAGCTGACACGATTTTTTTAATTTGATCAAGATTTAAACTTATTTGATTCATCGGATTGTTTGTTTTGCGAACAGATAGTTTTTGACATTTTTTAGCAGTTTCAAAAATTGACTGTATATTGTTGGCTCTAGATTTCGATCTATCAACTTTGGAATGATGCATTTTAGACATTGTCAGATTGATTATAGTTTCTTTATGTAATCCGATACACTTTGTTATTTTTATCATCTCACAAAATTTTATATTCAACTTATATCATATGACAAACATTAAATCTGCAACTTCTTTTTTTTGGACTAAAGTACCTCAAATATTTCTTTGTAACACACTTTTGTATATTTTTTCCGTGCTTACAATTTTTTTCTACGATAGTGTTTTCATCCAATTGTGATTGAAATATATTAAGCTTGATGCATTCCTGCAAAAATAAGATAAGCTCAATGAAAATTTGTACCTTAAAATAAAAATGCAAAAGTTTCAAATTGATAAGCAAGATATTCAGATCATCTTTAATTCTATAAATCAAATCTTCTTGGATTTACAACTTGATTATGTTGCAACCACCAAATCGAAGCTACCATAGATCTAACATTTTCCACAAGACTTTTGACTCTCTTCAAATTACAGTTTTTGAAGCAGTTTCCTCCACTCTCGGAATATCCACCAAGACATGACAGTCATTAATATCACATAAAAGATCCAATTTTAATCAAGCCAAATCCGCCTTGTGACTCAAAGACTATTATTTTTCTGCACTAAGTACTCTCCACCTTAGCCGTAACCTCCAAGTTTCAACTTCAAAAATTGAAACCTTTGGAACCCCAATTAAAACTCTACCTCCTTGAACCCTAGGTATCGTAACAGCGCTATCGGCCCTATCGACGCAATCGGTTTTAACTGTTGTGCGTTATTCAACACTCTGGTAATCACAACATAAGTCGTGACAATCATAAAAATGATTAAGGCTGTTGATAGTTCATGAGATGAGGATGATTTAAATTGGAAATTGTCTTATCTCTTAGAAAATTTACTAGAGTTATTGGATGACTGCAATTAGAATCTCAGATCCAAAGCGGTAAGTCAAAAGTGAATTATACCTTAAACAAAATGCTGATCTCAAGTAATAGTCCATTTGATAAAATCCAGTGAATTCGGCTTGAAGCAATAATGCAGAAATAACAATTCTCCACAAATTTTGTTTCAAGAGATTCACTTACAACTTTTGGGTCAAGAAGGATGTAGTGGATCACTTTCTCTGCCATCTTAACATGATTCATTGTAATGCCTCCAATTGCCAACGTTGAGAAAGAAAAAGAAATTTATGTACTTATATTCCATGTGGAAAGCTATCTTATACTTGACGCTTTACTTTTCCCTTCAGAGATTTATAGGACCGGTATTATCTAAAGGAATGAAATGGCTCGCGAAAGGAATGACGAACCGAGAACCTAGCCGCTTGTTTTTACTTACCAAAAGCTAAGCCGTTCTGAATGCCAATGAAGACCAAGCATCATGAAATCTGGGTCTACGGTGTATGCCGTTGTGTAACCATCGAAAGGTGTTAGGACGCTTGAAATCGGATACATATTCCGATCGTTTCTACTCACTGTGACAAGCCGGGAGTTATTCGGAGGTTGGGGAATTTACTTTTGCACCATGTTTTACTTTTTAGTTTCGGACTGTAGGCGAGAAACTCTGTTACATACCGCATAATGAGTTAAAGCATTCAATAAATCTCCAGGGCAGTGGAAAGTACCCATCACTGATGGACTTTACTGTTCGAACTCGGTCAGTGATACGTAAAAGCTTGACACACATAATTAGGTCAGTTCCTGCATTCGCATGGAGTGTGGAGTTGTGATGGACCATATGTGCTCAAAGCCCAAAGCCCAAAGCCCAAAGCTAAATTGGCCCAGGACTACTGCCGACTTAGCGAGGTATGAAACCATCAATGGTTTTACAATTGATTAAAATTGATACATTTCAGAACTATAGTATATTTCGCAGCTAATTGAGCCGATCCAATTGCATCGAAGATCGTTGTTTCGGAAAAGCGAGATCGTTGGTCATCTACGGCTCATGGGGCTTTGGGATCTCTGCGAGCAACTAACACCACCAAAGACGAAGGTGCAGGTCGAGCCTTCAATCTATCAATGGGGGCAGAACGAAGTCGAATTATATAAGCTTGTATTTGAAAACAAACTTTCAAATTAGCTCGTGAATGTTAGTAGGTTCAGGCAGTCATACTAACATTTGATTCTCAAATTTCGAATGTATATGGGGTCCGGCAAATGTGGCTTGGTAACCTTAGCACATGCTTTGAGCTTGTCAGCAGCCAAGCGGCCGATAGCTGTTCAATTTGAATTAGCAGAACGAAGTTGAAAGATATAATCTTGTATTTGAAAACAAACTTTCGAATTACCTCGTGAATGTTAATAGAGTCAGGCAGTCATACTAACCTTTGATTTCCAAATTTCGAATTCATCCAAACAAATTAGATTTGAATTCAACCAAACAGCAGCTGTCCAGCGGTCCCAACTAGGATTTTGAAATATGCTGTTAGATTTGAGTAACGTTTTTCTGAAGCGAAACGATGAGCTTTACCAACTTGGGCTGGCATCATTACCATCCAGAGTGGTCTGTCTCGTTGTTCTTCTGCCTGCCGTGAGAAACACGAGATTCAGCGGTGGCAAAAAGTTGGGAATTGTTGGAATTTGCGATTGTGGACAATTTTGCAATTCATTTCAATCCTCCCGGACATGTCTACATCATTTGAAGCAGCAGCTTCCCACGATCAGAGTAAGGTCCAGACTCTCTGTTGGCCCTTTTTCATGTGGAGTTTTGATTGTCATTCTTGGAATGATTTCGAAAATAGGAATATTGAAAATTGGTCTCATCTTCTGATTGCTTTCACCATGGCTCATGATTCATTGCGATTACAGTATCAGGTTGTCTTGCATAGAAATAAAAAATAAGTCTCATATTAAGGTATAAGAGTTAGAAAGCCTAGATTATCATCTGTACCTGGTGTTTGATGCAGAATTTACGCAGAATAAATCGGAAATGACGACAGCTTACAAAATGAGACTAAGAAATGGAAAAGATTTGATGGCTGGTATCAATTCAGATTTCGATGCACCAAGCAACCTGCAGCCAACTAACAGGAGCTTAGGAATTTTAGCTTCACAAAGAAGCAGCGGAGGTAATTGTTGGAATTGTTTATCATCAAGTGGCAGGAAGATATCCGAAAGGAGAACATTGAACTTTGTTCACCTGAGCGATTGTCCATCTGCAAAGAAACGTGAGATGGATGATGAAGCATCAGTTCAGTCCAACGAGACAACTTCATATGAGAGGAGAAAGTCAAAGACGTCGAAAGTTGTAATTTCCAGTGAGAAGCAACTGGCAAAGAGGCAGAAAGCTGACTTCCCTGGGTATCTAGAGAAAGCAAATCGTCTACAATTTCAACATTCCAATGGGTGGGAACAAGATTTGTTTTTATGGAGATTTGATGTTACTCGACTTCTTGATCGAAACTTGCTAGAAAATTTTTTGAAGAGGTTGAAGCAAGTTCAGTTACTAAGCTTCTTGGAGAGAACTTGCGAAGTCATTGCTCCTCCGGAGTTAATAGCAAACTTTATCCTCCAATGCAGAGTAGAGTGGATTTCCAGCACAAAGAGAGTGATCATCTACGATCTGGAAGCAGCAAATTTGACTAAGTTGCACGTTGAAATTTCGAGAGAGTCATTTGCTGAAGCCTTGCAGTTACCATTGGTGAAGACCAACCATGACGAGTTTTCAGACTACTCAAATCCAAAGTTCTTCAAGAGTTCCAAAGTGGAGTGGCTCGGGACAGAATACTTTGGTACATTATGTCAGTGTTCTCAAATGAGATTCCCTCTTCCAAATGGTTATGCAGATTGCAGTATTTGTTCAAAATCAAATCCACCAGAAAGCTTCTGGTTACTGGATGAGATCAAAGACCATTCCGTCAAGGATCTCATTCATTTTATTGGATTATGGATACACGATACATCTAATACCTCATGTTTAAGACGAGCAGCAATAAGTTCTGTCCTCGAAGCTCTGAATTCAAGGAGTGCTTTGCAGATATGGACACAACAAGTATGGACCAATTTTCTGTCCACTCTGGAGACTTTGAAAGGATTAGCCAACTGTAATTTTCCTTCTGAATGCAGTTTTAGCACAGCTGGAGTCATATCAGCTCTTCTTTCAGGACATACAAGGAAGCTGAGGAGCTGGAATAGAATTTGGCTAGAATGGGAGAGAGAAACTTACATCCCGGGAATTAAAATCTGCAAAAAAATGATCAGCCACATGCATCATTCGACCTTAGCAGCAGAGGAGCAAGAATCGCTCATGGTTTATCACAGAAGATCGCTCTGACTTCTCAGAAGTCTGAAATTAGACCATGAAGACGGTTAAATGAAAGTAGGTGTAGAGAAAGTTGTAAGTGCCGTGATTGTAAATCTTGATTTATTGTTGACTTTATGTTTTGACTTCATTTATCTAAGCCATATGTGTTATTGTGGTTTTTTCTTATTGATAATGATAGTGACCTAAGTCTTCGCAGCAATTTCTTTTCTTGAGAAACGTGTTCTTGAATAATTTTATTGGCAAATTAGTTTATTTCAATTTGTTTGTCATCACTTCCTGTCAGTTTTTTTTCTCTTTTTAAAATATTTTTTTTCGTTCCTTCAATTTATAAACAATTAAGATTTGTATCTCATAGTGACAAACTCTTGATTAAAAAATTTGAAACCTCTTTTGTAGCGTTGGAGTCTCCTCGCGAGGCAAGCTCCTTTATATTCTATATAAGCACTGCCATTTTAGTATGAAGGCCTTGATTAAGTTGTTTCTGAAAATGCTAATCATTTGTAATGATCAAAATGAACATAGCAACAGAGTAGTTTATTTGTTTTTAGCGCTCTTCAGATACGATTTTCCCCGAAGGATAGAAATCCCGAATGATAGATAAAATCTAATATAGTGAGAACTCCGCGTGTTAAGATAATAGCTGTGGTACGGGGATATAAAAAAACAGAGCTGGATTTGCATTCGTCAAAGTTTCAATTGTTTGGCACTTTGTATAAATATTCTGCCAGGTGTTACAATGAAGCCTACACAGCACACACAGAAACTATTAGCCCCGTTCCTATCTAAGAGTGTTGTCACTATCTAAGGATATACTTGTCGATCTCTGATCAAAAAGCCGACATGGAGCAACGAACATTTGGCCTGATTGAAGAAGCAAGTAGTTTAAAAAACTACTTGCTCCTTCAATCGAGGGTATGTGTGTCTAGATTCTGAGAGGAGGCTAGGAAGCAGAAAGAAAATGCGATTGGGTGGTCAAGACACTCGGAATCTTCAGATGCAATGCTTGGGGCGGACTTCCAGACTGATTGCAAAAAATGCGATCTTGATGGCTGAACTATTCACACACCTATTGCAATTGATCTAGCCAGGTGGTTTGAACCTCAAGTGTTGAAAACTACTAATGCCTAGAAAGTAGACATGATTCGGGATCCTTTTCAAAGACGTATCATCATCACATTAAATCAACATTTACCTTGCAGCAAACAACTTATGCAATCTTGCATAAATTTTGAACGGTGAAATAGTGTTGATTGACTGTAGAAAAAAAGTTGCGCAATATGGGCATGAATTGGGATTGCAATTAATTCGAATTAGGAAGGTACAATATTTTATTATTTATTTCTTCGTTCATATTTAGGCTTGGTCGGGTTAGATTACGGCCGAGTATCAGAAATACGTATCAGGCTTGACAAGCAGCATTAAGCAACCCGCCAATGCCCCTAAAACCTGTTGTGCTTGATGTAGAGTATGTTCAAACAAGAAATCTCAACGCGGCTGAAGAAATTGGAGGAGATTGTTCGCACTTTTGGGCAAGAGCGTGTGCGCTAGAAAGGTGAATTTAGTCGATGGCAAGAACGACCGCTGAGGGAAGTTGTGTGTTCTGTGAAAGGCAATTGTGGCCACGGACACGGAGGAAGATACTCACATAACACGGACACCGAGTTAATGTGTCACGATCAAAGATTTGTGCGCATAAAGAATGGATTTCGATACCCACAGTCAAGTCACTCCATCAGCAAATTGACCTCACTGCTATTTCCTCTAATTTTGAGTAAGAGGAATTGGCTCTTGTGTATTTTCCAAGATGGGAGCCATTGCATGAAATCTACGTGGAGATCGTGAAGGCCTGCCGAAGGTGGACCAACAAGAATACAATCGTTCTCAAGAGCTTGAAGAGCTATAAAGATCAAAAAGTGGTTTGGAGAATCAGAAAGTTGCTGCTGAAGAGACAATCGCAAATACTCGAGCTGAGTTGGATGGATTTCGTGCCAACAAGATTTCCAAGATACGAGGACTCACATGATCATTTGCGTCGTCAAATCAGGTTTTTCCAGACCGGCTTGCAAAAGGTCAACGTGGACCGACCCCACCACCTGATATCTCTTACCTGAAGATGCTCCGATGACTTTATTGCTAGTTAGCGGTTAATGATATTGTACGGACTTATGCATTTTTCGGACCAGCAGAGCATCCTACTATCGCGTTGGCAGGAAATATATCGGTGCCATGCGACATGTAAAGCATGAGCTATTTGAAGGACTGCGAGAGGTTGAAGCGGCGGTAGAAGTCTTTGTGCGTCCTGAAAAGCGCGCACTGATTGCAATCCCAACGGTTCATTGGACTCAATGCGAGCTTTATGTGTGGCTTAGTCGTAAAAGACAGAATGTATAAATAGGATTAAGGGCAGTTGTACAATAATCTTTTATGTTTTGCAAGTGTTTGACTGTTGAACTTCAAATGTAGACAGGATAGAACGAGTGCTGTGAGAAGTTGGATTAGCAATATTTAATTGGCGTAGACTGCGCATAGCCATGTGAAGTTAACAAAGTGCTCAGCCATGAATTCTCAAATTTTTCATTTAGGAAACTTCAAGAGACAATTTGCCTGTTAAACTGTGAAGATCATTCAATCTAAAAGGAATAATCTCATGTTGTTTGAATGTTACATTTTTCACTGATTGACCAACGTGGGTTGATCAATTTGGATATACTTTGGACTACGATTATCCAGAGCATTGAAAGAAGCATAAGTAGTAAAATTATGATCTTTGTGTCAAATCTCTCTATTCTCTTGGGAACAAACTCATATTTGTTAATTTTTGGAAGAGAATTTGTATGAATTTTACAATATTGTCTTTCATGGATTTTTTTATTCAAGCTTCTCGACCAATGCATTTGATTTTTATGATTTTTAGGCAAAAATTATGATAGAGATGTCACCAACTCTCTTTTACATCCAAATTGTCAACGTCATTCTTTATGCCTTACACATGATCATATCCAACTTTCCTCTCGCTAAATATCTAGCTGGGGTTATCAAGCTTTAACTATGCGGCAACATTTCCCATGATGACACCTGAACTATGTTTTTGTCTTGATTTTTCTCGGTCGAAATCACTTTTGTAATCTGCAACTTTTCTCGATTGAATGGCTTATATAACCTCAAGTTAAACTTCAATCATCAGATTCTCAAATTCTGACTGACGTTTTGAGTCTGGATAGATCCAAATCAAATATAGTGATGGAGTGAGTAGAATGAAAAGAAAGTGAAGGAGGAGTTTGCGATGAACTCTTAATAGGAGTCGATGCCAAACATGTTGGATTTCCTGCTTCTGGCGTACATTTCATGAATTGGGCAGAGATCAGTAGCCGGTGGCTCGTTCAGTCCGAACCTCATCATATGAAGTTATGTAGTCCTTGTAAGAGAGGGAATATTTTGTGCAAGATCTCATGGTCTTGCAAATAATATAGGCAGCGCACTTTACTCCGGCTAGTGCTAGTTTTTTAAAATTTACATAAATGTATTTTTTGATGAAAAAGGTTCTCGCTTACATATGTCATGCTATTAATATTAATCCACACATCTATATACCGTGACTTCGAGTAGAAATAGCCAAAACTTAGTTCAAATTTAGCTTTTTGATATGTACAAACTTGACCACCGTCTATTGGATCACTGTCATGTTTTATCAAAATTGCTTATGTTCGTTGGGAAGTACGACATTTATGTTTGACGTTCTGCATATTAGTAATGTATAATATTGGTAAGTTGACAGAAATCTAAGTGTCAAGCTGGTCCAAAAATCTGTTTCTAGAACTGGGGTGACAAAACTCTATATAATTTACTTAACTTTCACTTAGTTTTTCAGTATAATACTTATAAGGAGATTCTAGCGATGTGAAAAGGATTAAAAAGCGGAGATTTCAGACAATCCCGCATATGAGCAACTGCTGTACATCTCGGAAAACAAGGTGATGCAGTTGGAACCTGCTTCGAGATAAAAAGTCCAAAAGCCAAAGGCGATAGTGAAATGAATGGGAACCATGTAGAAAATTAAGTGCTCAAAAATCTGTCTACACACCGAAGTAAAAAGAACAAAGTGCCAGAGGACTTAGTGAAATAAAGTGTTCGCTAAGTATGCTTACATACCGAAATTATAAGAATAAATTTCCAAAATCGATATTGGAATGAAAGGTTTATAAGCCGTGCATATACTTACAGAGCAAGACAAATTCAAAAGAAAGAAGGGTTTAGGGTAGATAATTGATATCTACAAGATCTCTTATGACCCGTTGAGAAGCTCAACGAAATCAGCCCCTGCTATAACTGAGGCTCCTGAAATCGTAGTGCGGTAACTGAAATCCATCGCCCAGTACTTGAAATAACAGCTGATAAAGGCACACTCTTACCTCGTATACGGCAACATATCGTCATGTAGCGCACGGTTGGGACCTATGCCACGGATTCCAATAAAATGTCGTAAACAAGAAAAGAGGCACTATTTATAAATGTGATAAACATTGTCTCTGCAGTAGTGACGTAGAAAGTGTGGAAGTCTAAAATAGGTCTAAGACTAAGAGCAGTGCAAAACCACCACAGGAAGAACCCTTCAAAAAAATTACTAAGAATTGTGTGGCAATTCCTCGATTCCGTCCGAAACTTCCTCTTGCGTATCATAAGCAGGACAAAATGAAAGCCAGGCCCATACCAGTGGTGGCCAACAGATTTGAATGTGAATCTGCCCTAAACTATACTAATGATTTTGGATCTCATTGAGACCAAAATTAAGTTCAAATCAAACGAATATTGGGAAAATTGGTAAAAATCCTCCGGAGACACATACCCTATGGAAAAGAACCTATTGACAAGATTACAATTAAATTTCCAACTGTAGGCCAAAAAAAGTTCAAAGTTGCTACGAGGGTAGCAACTGGACATCACAGCTTGCATGATAGTATAAAGAGTTTTTAATACATGTGAGAACCGTTTCAGTCTTCTTTGTTGCCCAAAGTTCACCATCTACACCAGGGCACCGTGATTACTGCCAGGCACGTGGTGCGCGGGGAGCATGTTCGGGCCTGATAGCCGGGACTAGTAACTAGTTCCGGCTACTGATTGTAGTCTATAGTCGTTGTACATTCCATTGTCTATTTGCAGTTGTCACTTCATAGCAATATCATAACAGTTTAAGTTACTACTTCATCAAAGCATGAATCTGCGTTTTCGAAATCGGACACAAGTTCTGGTTCAGGTCTTCGATGGTATGAACTTTTGCGGCCCACTATTCCATGACTAGATGCTCTAAAGAGGGCTGAAGCCAGGTATATCTTGCAGGATACTTTTGTTCAGTATGGAGAAGATTTCGCATTTTCCAGGATTTAACAACTCGGTATAGGATTTTAGGATACCGAAACAAAAAGTACAGGACATTGTGTATATGCATGTGCTTACCAAACTAAGCACAGAAATACGAGAGAAAGAAAAAGTAACATCGAAATTATATTATTTGTCTTTCATCGTTTTCGAGTTTTTTCCCTGATCTGCTGTGAAATTCTACCGTAGTCTCATACAAATTTGATTTGGACTTCTTTTTAAGCTCCAACTGTTTATATCTAGAAATACCAATGAAAGCATGCCTTTGATACATAGCTTCATCTCCATGAAATTTATGGTGAATTTTGAATTTGCTTCCGCATTCAGAGTACAACCTTTGTGATTTTGAAACATTTTGGAGTTGTTACGCACGGTGAACAACATCTTCACAATTATCACTCGTTTCCTAAGCATGAACACTTCATGAGTCAATAAAATCAATTGGCCTTACAACAATTTTAGTAAATCTATCCGATGTAGTTATTCAAAAATCCATGATCTTGTGGTGATAATCTCATTCATCACTCCAACACTCCACAGTCAAACTTTGCAACAACAGACATCTGAGAGTAGATACTTTATTTTTTGTTATACACAATCTGACAAGATTTTGTATGCTTACTGCAGCTGTGAACTCCTCCTAGTAAGTCCAGAGATTTAAAAAAATCGGAGAATCTGCGGATTCAGCTAATTTAGTGCAATAATGGAGTGATGTAAATCAACACAAAAATTAACGAAAGTAATTATTACACTCTACGAACTCATGGAAATGAGTGGAACTTGGGATACATCAATCTGATGCGCTCTTCGACCTCGGGAAGGTTACTCGAAACTTGATCTGTTATCATATCTCCAATCACTACTGTTCTACCTCCCCAGTCCAAGTTCAGCCTGAAATGACCATTCCACACCTTATGCCACATAGCAGAAATCGAACGGTGGACGACAACATCGAGCTCACTAACGTAAAACTCCTCAACAAAAATTTGCTGCTTTTTGACGGTCAGAAACCAAGTTGAAAAATAGTCTATGGATATGGGCTCGTTGTCCACCCATATATGTAGGGGATTTTCCTCATCTTGTTCACCGATCCAGAATTTTACTGCTGTGCCCTGGCGCATAATTTCAAACATAATAAGGGAACGTGGCACAAACATGCATTCGTCTACTTCCAACACCTTATGTTGAACGACTTCACAATCAATAAATGTATCTAGGTATCGGTGCACATAGCGATCGGGAAAGGGTTCACCCATGACTAGTTTCAAAGCTTTCCAAGCCGCAGAGTTTAGGCCTTGAACACCGAGATGTGTAACTTTCTCCACAATCTAGGCTTCAGACTATTAATTTCGCGCTATTCAGCCAGAGGTTGGGTCTTTGTTGCATATTCCAACACCGTCACTAGATGGAATATAAAACATAATGACAATGGCTCTATGGTTTGAAAGTTTGCATCGAAGGAATCTGGCCACTTCGTACCTGCAAATTTCGGCAACATTCAGCTTAGCAGGAACTAACAACTTAACTTTCAAGGATCAAACAATCAAGGTTCTCAATCGTACACCGTGCTGAGACAGAAATCACAGAAATAGAATCAACATCGTGTCGGTATCGGACATTTTACAACTTCAAAACAAGAAGTCAATAACTAACACGTCTGCGACGCATGGACTAAATTGTTTCTTCTCGTAATATGAAGACACGATAAAACACAAGTTGAACCCCACAGAAGTTGTGAAGCAACCAGATGTTCACTACATGTGAAGACGGAAACATGAACAGGATTGAGTTTGGGTTAAGATTTGTACCATTTGCAGATCCAGATCTTCAATCAAGCCACTCCCATCTCATTCATGTCCAGGTATAGAGTTCGATAACGATCCCCCATTTCTTCACGAGTGAAAAGTTTCCAGCTGCTTGTGACGAATCAGCCTCGAGATTTGCATCAGGAACATGGATGATGCATGTACGGAAACACTTCCCGACAGAATTGTATAGTCCTAACAGTTTCTCACGAAGAATATGACCCTGTGTATAGCGACGATCCACCACATTTGTGTCCAAACATACTGAATCTGTCCAATAAGATATTTCTTACAGGCGATAAGATAAGTTGAAGCTGCAATTGTGACATAGGAGAGATGCCAATGCATAGCATCAAATAGAAGCTCAGATTGTGTTCACCTGCCGAAACAGTAATGCTTCCATAGACACAAGATTTAGAGGTCTGTCAAGAAAGCTTTGAAGGAGTCCTGAGGAAAGCAGTATCGAGCAATCGAGTATGCTGCTTCGAGTGCTCTATGTCTCGTTCGGTTGGTCTTAGAAGTCCACGAAACGAAAAAGTGGAGTAGGTCACTGATCCACGATTTGAATTTCTCAACGTTAGTAGTTTCAATATGATTGTATCGAAAACCCGACGAACGTTCCTTTCCCATCGGGTGATATGAACATCTTTACAACGTGTTGCTCAACTGACTTTTGCAAACTTGCTTGCATTGAGCAGTCTACTCACGACCAAGTGGCAGGTACAACGATCGTCAGGAGAAGACGGTGGCTGTGAGATTGTACTGCGGGAGCCCGTGACATTCCTTCTGATAGCCCTCATAACGAACTATATACACCATAGTCTTTGTACGTATCCCGGGACCAAGAGACTGACATTATCCTAATCGTCAGAGTTGTAGGATTTGACTTGTCTACAGTCCAAACTTGAAAGTCAAGGAGGAAGTAACTCAAAGATTTTCTGTGATTCTATGTAATAAACAGTGACTTGAACTATTTATGGACATGGCATTTATCAATCATACAGATTCAAGAGAAAAATATTCATAAAATGGCCAAACATATTTCAAATCCGATAATGGATAAAAAGTGATCCGTGAAGATATGAAGATAACGTTGGTCCAAATGACAATATTTAAATTATAGATATTTTAAAATCTTCTTCTTGAAATTGATTTAACAATTTTATAAATACAATTAATTTATATGATGAGTAATTGATGAGCTCGTGGTGCAATGATCTTCGTCCATAAAGAGAAGAGAAAAACAATGAAAGAGAAAATTAATCCAATAAAATCACAAGATATAACTAAGATATATCAAATTTTTGGGTAAATCTGCTAACGAGATAATCCTAAGTCTTTTCAAATAAAAGAACATCCATCAGGTTTAAATGTTGCTTTAAGTATAAATCAGCTTAATTTTTAAAGTTTGTACATTAAGTCAAAAGCATAATTGAAATTATTCTTCCGTTTGCTTAAATTTTCAATTTCAAGTGATAAGATTTATTAAATGCCATACAAGACTTATGGATCAGATTATCAAAATGTCAGAAATTCTTTATTGAATTTTTGAAATCATTATTTCATGTTTTTTCAAAATTTAGATTGTAAGATAGTTGAAGATGTAAATGACATAAATTTGCACAACTGTAATGTATCATAAAGTGTGATATGATACAAAACTTCCATATTTGACATATTGTGATATAAGAAATTTCTACTAAACAATTTACTTAAAGAGTTAGATATACAAAAAATCAGGAAAACTGATGAAAAATATCCCTTAATCCATCTGGAAGCTTGGGCTAAATTATGACAACTGCATGCTTCAAAGAAATTCACTTCCACGTAATCACAACAAAACTTTTAAAATTTGTCGTAAGATTGTGACAATGTTTACATGACTATGGTCCGCATATTTGGTGCTGAAGAGTTTGGATTGTTCATCAAGTCTCCAACCTCTTCCAACAGTGTGTTGTGAGGTCAATGACATAGCACAAGGTCGGTAATGCACGACCGATATTTCTAAAATGCCGACAGTCTACAGATGCTGTAAAGAAAACACAGAGAATGTGTATTCTGGACTATACTATGAAAACTGCATTTAGAATAGATGTCGGATTTAAACGAGATTTGACTATACACTCAGAAATTGCACGCGGATGTATGACCTTGCACAGCAAAGTACGAGGCGTTTCAGACTCGAAGATGGTGGAACAAGTGAAATGTGAAAGAAAAACTTGACTTTTATTGTACAAGTTGTCCTTGTAAGTTTCAACTGACATTTTTACAAGTGTGACTGGAGTATTGGAAAAAAATGGCAGGACTCGTCAAAGAAGGTCCCGAGAATGATCCGAAAAAGTTTTAAATGTACTATTTCAAGAAATATTTGCAGGTTATCTACGTAATGTAGACTTCAAAGCATTATTGGCAGAATTGACTCAAGATGTCCATAATGGTTTTCCAGCCCTTTGGAGTCATGATCTGCATAGTGGTAATCAAAATAACGATCAGTAGTATTACTTCTCCCGTGGCTCGATGACGGCGCAATGTTTTCTCCAGCCGTAGGGATGAGTTCCCTCAATGAAGCCCATTTTGATCATAGAAATTCCGAACTCGGTCAAGAACCACGACGGGTCTTCCACTGCTTTGGTGACAATTTCCAAACCATAGGGGTCGCTTGTGAGCGTCACATCTGATTCAAGTAGTCCTCTTTTGGTTAGAAGGTTCTGATAATAGTCAGTGTCAAATGTCCCGTTCGTTCCGCCGAGAGCCATCAATCCGAAAGGCTTGTCAATGGGGCATCTCTTCTTCAGAAATGTGGCCAGTGATGCGTCCATCGAGGGATCTGTCTTGTTCGTCCCTTCAAAATTGTACAATCGCTCGAAAAACGCTCCACAATGAGCTACGCCTATGGTGTGGGATCCTGCAATGAGACATACCTGTTAATTATTTGTGTCCACAACTGATTCTGCAAACTCATTCACACACATTCGCCTTGTCATTCCTTGTGCTTGCATCTATGCCAGCCATGTTTCTCGGGATTATGTCTTTGTAATTGACCAACACTATCATGTGTCTTTATCGTTCCCCTTAATTGGAAGAAGCAGGCTAAGTGGCAGAAGAAATACCTGACAGGATAACCATGTCCTTCGCATCCAAACCACGTCTCGCAAAGTTGGCAACGAGAGTAGTATAATTGTCCGTACGTTCTGGTAGACTACCGTTGACCTCCTCACCAACGGAACCGGCTCCATCGATTCTACCTAGAAACACTGGCCAACCATAGCCGCCAACCTGCAAGAACATAGAGCGACAACCAGCCTCAAAGCTTGAAATATTCGTAGCCTTCAATCTGTGCTTCAAAGTATTTGGTATTAATACATGATGCCTCGCTGTACTCAAAAACCGCCGAGGAAGGGGTCATGCAAAGCCCAATTATTTTTGTTGGCAGCATATTGGTGTCATGCTTGATCTTTTGCAGGGAGAGAATACTTTGCATCAAATAGGTTGAATTAGATAAGTAGAGGCTGTTCGATTAGAAGAACCGAAGGACCCCTGACTGTCGTTAAGAGGTTATGTGTACACTTTGCCTTCGAAATGCTGTCGGGGAGGAAGGATTATGATATATGACTCTTAACAATGAAATCTTCCTTGTCCAGTAGGTGTTGGTTACGTACCTTGGCGGTGGCGTCTCTGGCTACAAGAGCAAGAATATCAGCACACGACACAACGCCGGGGCATGCACATTCAAGCTCCATCTTGATGGCATCAATCTCCTCGAAACCTCTGAGAGAACCTTTGTTCAGAAGAGCATCCTTCTCAGCCAAACTATCTTCCGTTGAGTTGACAAGCACAGATCCATCACAACCCTGCAGGAGAGACGTAAGTGAGTCCAGTAGAGAATTTCAAGATAACATAGATGAGTTTATAGACACAGCAGCTTGAGAGTCCAAAACTGACCATTTCCTTATCTATGCTCTTCAGACAAAACCTTCTTCTGGCCAAGACTTGCTTATATTGGAAATCTGACTATTGGCCAGAAGCGGTTGTCCGAGGAGCAAATACAGATATAGTACAGCTGATTGCGCGAATGAAATCATTGTCTTCAACAGTAGCGGGTTGTAGGAAATTGGAGTTGGCAGCAGAAAGCTTACTCGAACAAAGCAATCATGGAAATGTAAGCGCAGAAGAGCTCCAGCTAGTCCTCGATCTGCCTCGATGAACTCGTCTACCTTCCGCTGCACTATAGAAAGGGCTTGAGGGCAACTTTGGTCATAGAAATCCGTCGTAAGATAGTTGGCATCTGTTCGCTCAGATGCCAACATAACTACAAAGAGAACCAAACCTAGCATTTGCCAAATAGGCAATCTTGAACCGCCAGAAGTCATGATCGCTTTGTCTAGCTGTGAAGATCGTCTCTCTGTTTTTTCTTTATTTGAGAATCTCACGACCAGCTTGAGGTAATGATCGATTTTGCTTCTCTGCAAGGACCACAACAACGACCGGTCATTACTAGAGTTTAGACATTGGACAGATTTTAGAAGGCATTCTGAATATATTGGATCTACTACGAACCATCACTAAGCATGTGGATGGTGCGAGTGATTGAGCTCAAAAGTACTGAAAATATAATGAAAAAAATCCAAATTGATGAGGACTGTATGTGCTTCTCTTTGATTCTCACAAACCTGCAAAGGTCGAAGTTACAAGTGTAGACTGATCGACCCGGCCAGCTGCGATTTGACAATGCCGCATACTCCATATATAGTCCTTCAGAAAGAAAGAATGAATATTTTAATTGCAGAAGGAAAATAATAATCACGTGATAGATCGGCATTTTTCTCGTTCATTCCACTGATGCTACGACTGTAGCGTGATTTAGAGGGAAGGTGAAACTTTGTGGCTCCCGCTCAGACGTGCACCCTCACACAGTTCACTGTAACATTGTTGTAGGGAAGTATCGTGTCCAGAAAGTTGTGTATCAGATACTTCTGAGTGCTTTCCTCTAGCTTGACAATTTCTCTAATAGTTAGCTGAAGTCAACATCCACAAGATACCATCGCCGATCAAGAAATTTGAATTTTATTGACCTGCACGCTGGCTTCGTGTTACTTTGCTACCAAAGAGCGAACTCGGCATACGAGTGAGCTCGCATCATGATTATACGGATACTGATTCTAATCCTACTGATAAGTTTCTTACCCTTGGGCGGGAGTTTACCTACTCTGAAAACATTTTGGATCCTTCCAAGTGCACGAAAGATGTAATTTTGGCTTACATCTTTGTAAGGGTTACTCTTAGTCGCTAATATGCATATACTAAATGGTTGGGCGCATTACTTGACTCCAGTTAAGTTCAACATGTTCAGCGTGCACACTGAACATGGTGCAAGGTGTTTCTTTCCAACCATATGGGAGCCACAAGTGACATCAGCAATTCTTGCATGACCATGTATGCAAATGACAATCTGCAAATCCTCGTTCAGATGACGATTGGCAATGGCGTATGAATCTCTGAGTATTCTGGTAAGATACACCGGGACTTTCAGTGATCCCAATAACAAATATTCCTTTTCGATTTCAGCAACAACCGTTGACATCCCCAAGCTGGTAGTTGTCGATCGTCTTTTTTCCCTTTCATCTATAAAGATAGCTGTGTGTCTTACTTCTTGACAGTAGGAAATTAACACGCGGCAAGCCTACGTGTGTGTAATTAGGTGTATTGCGATAACTTGTTTAGGTCGCTCAGATCATCAAACATTATTCAAACTCGCACCAGCTTCCATGTTCAAGTGTGCCGACTCAGCTGGTTCGTGTTGTGTCGCCCAAGGGTGGATTTCTTATCCTCGGCAAAAACGTGGACTCTGCCTGTACCTCGTGTTCCTTTTGGTCACGGTTTCAATCCCAGGGCCTGTGAAGTTTATCCCTTCCTGGCCTAGATATCTTCTCTGTATCATTAGCTTTGCGTGTCTATCACTGTCCATGTGTGTACAGGCACCTGAATTGGTGGTAATAGTAGCGGCGGTGAAAATTGTCTTTTCCCTGTCTCTTCTCGACCATGACTTGCGCGTAACTCCATATCTAGCGAGACGTACCTGCCGTTCCGGCAGGCCTTGCTTTGAAAGAGATATACACGAAGTCATCGTGAACAGCGCACCAGTTTTCACGTACTTGCTCTACAAGCATTGCAATAGTAGCAGCTGACCAATTCGTAGTGGTACTAATTCGGGCTTGCAGTAGGTTCTCGAGCATGTTGGAGGTTAGTGGATTTTTGGGCAATAATACGGATAAGTAACCTCAGTGCCTAGAGTGGATTGTACTGTGTGCGTGGTAGTCTGTACCCGCAATTTCGACAACGAGTTTTTCGGTCGAGAGGTTGACAGGATCTATGACTTGGTAAACTGACCTGAAGAGATCCATGTCGTGCATCAAATACAAAACGCAGCTGCGTGTGTACTGTTCAAGACAATCAGCACAGTAGTGATCACGAGTCTATAGACTGTGGTACTCTTGCCCTTGATCAACCTAAAGTAGTCTTTGAGGGTCTTTGGTAGATGTCGTGCTGACAAGACGCCTCGTTGACGTGAGTTGGCGTGAAGGGGCTCTGTCCCAACAACCTTAACTTTGCACAGGAGTCCTCCATGTGCTCGAGAGAAATTTGGATTCGTTTCAGGAGTATAAGAATCTGGTGGGACAGTTTGTATCGCCACTACAACAGACTATACCAAGTTTGTTCCGATTTCTCTGCTCGTCGACAACCAAAGGCAGTTATAAGGCAGCTAAACTCGATCCATAATGCATGTCTTCCCCACTTGAACACCTCAAGGTGTTCACCATCGGCGGTATTCAAGAACCAGCTCTGCCAGGGTTAGAGAGATTCTTTCGAAACGGTGACGCTCGAGTGGCATCGGATGACAGCCTGACTGTATTGAATCTGCCCGGTTATAGATCGAATTGGTTTCATCGTTGCGTAACTGTGACCAGAGGAAAAGGGTTCTCTTGCTCCGCCTTCTATTCACCACATGGTCTTCCTCATCTTCAAGGAGGAGCTAGACTAGTTACACGAATGTACACATTTACAAAGGTCTTATTACAAATTGCTTGGCTTCACTTTGACCAGCTCAATCTCAATCAGAAGGGCTTGAGATGCAATCCTCTCTGAAAGGCGTCTTTCTGCAAAGAATGATGTGGGTCTTGGCAAAAGATCAGGCCTGACCCAACCACGCTCTGGAGTCACTAGGATTCGTCTCTTTGCACCCTCTCGCATCCCTTCCATTCCTCCTTCTATTGCTTCGGGAACCTGCGAGCAGAAGACGATGGAGTCAAAACGTTTGAGCTGACAAGTGGATCACGTGGTGTGTTCGACCTAGGACGGCTCTTACTGTCTCACAACCCAAGGGTGCGTAGGAACCAAAGAGGACAGGAAAGAGGTGTACTAGATCCACCCGAGCTTGCAGAATGTTTGAAATGCCCAAACCATTATTTATTGATGACTCTCTGCCAACATATCTGCTGCAAGCAGTGGCAAGTTGAAATAACAAAATGCCCAGAAACAAGCTGAGATTCAGTATTACCAGTCCTTTGCCATATTCAAACTTCAGTGCTTCTCCAACATCATTCTTCCCTTCCTTCCCATAGCCCATAGAATCCAAATAGTATCTGCATTGTAATCCAAGAAAGTTGAGAAGACGAGTTCTGAGGAATCTGACAAGAGAGAATGTCTCGTTATCGAGATGACGCTAGTGGCAATAAATTGTCAGCAGGTGAGGAAAAACAGAGGAACTAAAATCTAGAATTTAGAGGATTTCTTAGAGGCTTCAGGGACGAAAAAATACCCATTTAATCTCGATATTGTGTAATAGATGGACACCGCGTCGCCCGTTGCAACAGGTCTTCCAGTACCTCGCTCTAGTTCCCTATATCTGCCACGGCCAGAGTTCCAAATTACAAGGTGAGAAGGTAGGTTTGATCCACCTCAACGACGGTGCAACAATAACGGGACGTTAGACAGGAGTCCACGTACTTGATACCAGTTGAAGATACTATAACAGGACCCTCAGCAGCTTCCTTCTCTTCACGTAGCTTTTCTCCTGCTTTCCGTGCATCGTCTATATTTGAATACAGAGTGACCTTCTCTGTTCCAGCTCTGCCAAATCAAAACTTTCAGATCAGGAAAATTCATAGCATTCCGTGATCAACTCCAACGAACAGATTCATACGCACTTGTCGAAGGTGAAGAAAATGTTGATACTCATCAAACTTCTGGTGGTGACTTTATAAAAGGTATCTAATTCGAGGAATTTAAATGTTGGGCATCGGTAATTCAGAGTTGCGAGTCCAATGAAAAATCTAGATATGACTCTATGAACAATTCAAATCCCTATTCAGATCAAATCAAGTTTTCAAATGAAGTCCGACATTTCAAATTCATTACAGGTATGTCATTTAGCTTAGCGCGAATGTCATTGAACCATTCAGCTCAATGACATCCGAACATTAAGTGTTCCTATTTTAATAACAAGATTCATCATATTCTTGAGGAATTGATCTTAGGTGATAAGGTTCTGGGGCTACACAGGCACCCTTCTGGTAAGATCTCAGTCATACTGGCGACAAAATCAGCTGAATATCTGTAACAACGGTTCAAATTGTAGGTTACCACCTCAATTTCCTTTGAATAAATTATAAGTAAACAGACACAGTTCTGTGCACCAGTAATTTGAAACATAAATACGGGCAGCGGTTTTTCCAAAATTCAGGATCTTTAGACCAGGAGCTGTTCAACTCTCGTAGGAAGATGAACTGCGTCAGATTCACACATGTTGACTTGTATGGTTAGCTCGATTGATTCTTGTCAGTAGAAACTTTGGGAGCGGAAAAAGGAGGTAGATGCACCCAACGGAAGAATAAGGGTTTATGTCCCCGAAATTGAACGCCTGTGACTAGAAGGGAGTGCCTTGCCTCAAGTATAACAAAGGCGGATGAGGCTTACAGCGCAGAATGCAGAGGGGCCATGGACAACCCCGCGCCAGCCACTAAAAATATAACCTGGCGACGTGAAGCAAATCTGCTGGAATTCGCCTCGACATCCTGCGCATTGCCTGGGATTTGTTAACAACTACAATGTCAGCTACACGTTGGACCAAGAACCTCCACGAGAGATCACGAAAGATCCCAGAGCAAGGATAGACGACATGCTGCATACCGATTGAAGAGCGAGAGACGAGGATTGCTCCAGAAGCAGAGCTACGCCTCCGTAAACCTCGAGAATCCGACGCTGCTGAACACAGGAGAGGATTCCGACAGGTTCCAACGAAGCTCCACTTCAAATCCATGGCCTGACGTCAGGGCAGGTCAAGGTACGCCCCGCCCCTCCCTTCCAAGCTCCAAGCTCCAACTGAGAGTGGTCGTCAATACAAACAACCGTCGACTCGATTCTGTTGCGAGTGCCCCTGCATTCGCAACGCAGCAGAGTCTCCGACAGTGAACTGGACTGCGTTCACAGCTTACAGAAACTATCCGCAAAAGGGAGAAATTCGATAATCAACTAAAAAAGAAGGGAGTTCAGTCCGCAACAAAGCTCCGGACCGTAGCTATTCTAGATAGCTCTCAGTAAGTCAATCAGTCGAGGACTGCAGAACTGCAGAACTCCAGGCCAGACATGCCCTCAACTCGATCTGAGCGTTAGCATAGCCCACTCACAGGCTGAATGTGGATAACGTTCTGATAAACCCATGAGCGAGAATGTGCAATCTCCTCCTTTTGCAGTCAAAGCAGAATCGAATCATCGAATCTATACTGTAGCTACCCATGGCCTCGTTCAGCAGATGGAGACTTTCTAGGAAAGCTGAGGAGAGTGGGAGGCTCATGTGGCGAGACCATGAGAACGTCAGTTGTCAAGTAAACCGCCACATCTTTGCCTACCCGAAGGAAAGCGACCCAAAGCAGCTCGGGCTGGCTTGGCAGGGTCCCTGCGACAGAACGGACAAGATTCACCAGATGGAAAACACGTTGCGTCTGAATTCTGTCCTACTCATACAGTGGACAGTACAGACTATCACTTTCCATGTCTTGGCTTTTGGATTGTGGGTACGAGATGTTGCATATCAATGAGCAGCGGACTGGTTTCATTCATGTACGATTAGATGTGCTCTTCCCATACTTTTTTGTTATTTTATTTTGTACTCCATGAGAAGTAGCGTTGTATTCCAACTGTGGTTATTAACATAACGCCAGTCCGCAACCATTATATACCCCACTAAAAGCAGAATAGCTTTTGAGATATTCCTGGTCAATGCACTCAATATCGTGAATTGATGGTTTCCTTACCCCACTGCTGCCCCAGTTGCCAAATCCATGGCCCGGTAGGTGGGAACATCATAATATCTCAACGTGGATTCGACATGCCTTCAATGCATTGTCTCCTGTCCCTCCCCATTTTGAGCTTTACAAATTTCAAAGGGTGACTCTCATATCTCTTATAGCTCTTGTTTCACGACTGCTTCAAGGATATCCTATCAATTTGAAAGCCATCAGGATGGTGTACTAGATTGAAACGTATACATGTCATCAAAAGTTAAAAGTCGATAAAATTCCTAATTTGTACATTATTTTCTTTGGCTCATTCTGCAGTTTTGAAGATAAATTTGATTTCCTTTTCATTTTTCATGGCTGATTCACCATCTGATACCAAAACTCCTCACATACTTTCATAAATGCATTGGAAAATGTAGGGCGATACGTACAGCTTGCAGTCACTACACTAAACTTCATCCATTAGCTGCCAAATTCATTCATGTTTCTCCTAGATGGACTTTGGGTCCTTGGATCTCCTTGCTAAAACTAAGTTTAAAATAATTCTATTGAGCACGCTGTAGCATGCAAAGCAGCATGCTCATCTGCTTTCGCACGTCGGTAGGGCGTAGTTGACATTTTCCATACTCGATCGATGTCTTTTATTACAAACAAGCTATTATGTAGTATAAAATTTACAAATATTATATATACACTATATTCACATTCTTTTAATTACACTTTCATGAATTTTGACTTTCTTCTACTTCCATCGTCTTTCATATTATCTTCTCACCTACTTCTACCACTTACTCTGACTCTTGAGGCTTTCACGTTCATGTCTCCTACTGCTATTCTCAATGCATATGCATCACGGTGACATTCCTTTGAACTTATTTTCTGTACGACATTCAAATTTTATTGGATCATATGTAATATATTGAGGAGGAAATTTTTCCACTTTAGATTGATTTAAAGTCGGCCCAGTTTTCACTAGAATTTTTTCACTCTTGCAGTTATTCCTTCCATGGAGAATCTTTATTGTGTTCTTTGAATTTGAGTGAGTATATGCAAACCACAACCCTTAGTACTTTTAAGTACAATGAATTTAGATCTATTAAAGCTAATATATCAAATATCAAGAAGTTTTCAAATTCTTAGCTTCATGCAACTCCTCTCATCCACATTCACTCATTTACTCATAGTCTCTCACAGTAAAACATATTACTATATCAACACAAGGATACAAACAAAAAGTCGACAAAGAAAATAAAGTATTCACCTTAGTGAATCACTTATACATATAGTGACAGATTAACTAGTTTAAAAGACCAATTTTATTCATGATTTAATTCTTAATGATCTCTTTCTTAACTTGTGTCTTGGATACCATAATTTCCATAGTCTATATAATTATTCTACATAAAGTCCTGGAAAAAAGATTTGACATGTGAATCTCTCTAAATTAGAAATAATTTATACTAAGTTGTAGCCAAAAACTGATTATATATATATATATATATACAAAGATAGAAAAAATTGCTAGTAAAAAATACTTATGCAAAACTTGCAAAGCAGCAAAATGTATTCCAAAACTTTCCAATTGAATTATTGTGTTCAATGCATCAGCTTGAATGGATTTACCATTGATCTTGACTTGCCTAACTTTAAAATTAGAAACTGTATTTCTAATAAAGTAAAATCTAACGTCTATATACTTTACCGTTCTATTCATCACTTGAGTTATTACAAAATGTAATGCACTTTACTAATCAATATGAGGATTGATAATATCATATATCATGACATTATGTTGTAGATGATTTCATAATCTCATTCTCAAGAGATTGCGTCAAATTGCGTTTCGGTCAGAAGTCATGATCGTTAAAATGATATGAAGTAAATATTCTATGTATTATCACAGAATGAATGAAGCATTATTTCTAATTTTCAGCTCAAGCTTTATAACTTGGACGGATATTTTAAAACGTGCTCAAAAGTCAATTTGATCAAATATTAGAATATGTGGTAGAAGAATTGCTAAATTTTTTATTAACCCTATATTTCCTTGCCACATTTAGAGTGATGTTTTGGAATTGCGGAATTAGGGGAAAGTGATTCTTTTTATCCGTTCATTACTGGATACTCGTCCGGGTACACCCAGAAATGTGGGCTTAGTGTAAGGCCTGAGGACGAACGAAAGACAAAGTCTTGACCCAAGGACAGCAGGTGGTAGTATTCTTCATCTGGCTGCATTAAAGCAATATGGTTAGTTATGAAGTTTTGGGTCCTAAGGCCCAGTTGGCCCAAGTATACGAATAAATACACGGGAGGGCGATGAGACAGCTTGTTGTCACACTAATGGAATATTTGCGTGACATCCGTTCTTCGATCCTAGTATTATTGCTGGTTTGAAGTCCTAAAAATGACACGCGAGATTGTCCAGAAACCAACAGCACTAATTTTTCACTTTCCCTTCTGACAGTTTTAAGCCGTCTCCTCTTCTCTCGAAGCACGGCTGCCAGTCCCATCTGCATCACCGGGTTTTCCGTTTTGCGGTGCGCGCGAACGTAACCTGTTCAATATTATGCCTTTTGAGGATGGTGTGCAACAAAGACAAAGAGAGTCAAGACTTCAGCCCTTGTAAGTCTTACTTCTTTCAAGAGTCATGTAACAAATTTTTTTAAATGCTACTTTCATGACTTACTAGTACAAAGCACTAGTACAAGGGTTTGTAGCACTACTTACGGAATCTAGAAAGGCTTTTTAGTAGAGAGTTGTGAAATTGAAGATTCATCCACAGAAATGCGAATTTGTTGTTACATCTGTGATCTACGTTGGACGTAGTATCCTACCAAATGTTAATATCGCTCATTGGGCTAAGGTGATTGCTGTCATAATCCTGTCCTACGAATGTGCTTTCACTGCGTAGTTTCATTGGGCTTTGTATATACTATCAAGTATATGTTTAAAATTTCTGTAGAGTGGTTCATCTTCTCTAAGCACACTATCAAAAAGGAACCTGGCACGGACATGAAACAAACTTTCTGCCAATGCATTTTAGCGACTGAAAGATAAGCTCTTAAAATTTCCAGTTCTACGGTAGTCTGACTATAGTAAGGTATTCATTCTCCATACTGACTAGAGAAACCTTGGAATTGATGCTGAAAGGTAATGAATACTTGATACCCTGTGCTTCTTGAAGCAACAATAAGCCAGAGAGCAAATACTCCTCATATGAAGGCTGTACGATGGGCTGTTATACATTGCATCCGTACCCATATATAACTAGGTTCACGATCTACAGCGACCATCAACTTTGAAGTGGTTGATGACCAACAACAAGTTAGTTCGTTCGGCACTAATATTACAAAGCATATGAAGTTGATGTGATTCAGTGCCTAGGTTTTACACATCAAAATGCTGATACGATGTGTAGTACACCTACTGTTTCACCAGAGGATGATTCGGCAGACAGACTAGACATTCACATAGCAAGGCATTCATTATGCTTCTAGTTATCTTGCTCTACTCCAATTTTACGTAATAGGAGAGCAAAAGTTGTTGACATCTAGGAAGCCTCGGTAATAATGAGATTCCTTCAACATGGAGAGTATCCTTCTAAAGTGACATCTCACAGAGAAATTGTATTGAATAATGTTCTAGGAGTTACTAGGTAGGACTCTAATGACTTGGCATTTGCCAAATATGTCACACATAGCATCACCATAACATTATTTATAACAAATATAATCATATTTTTAATGTGTTTGAATTGACTTGAATTGCTTACAATACATGATACCTTCGAATCACATATCCATTAAGGACAATATGTACTTGTCTTCCAACTAAACAAGGAAAATTCATATTTCATAGATGTAGTACCAGAATATACACTAACAAATCTTACCGCAAACGTGCATAGATTAGGAAATTGAAGTTGAAAAGTACTTCATGCTTCATGAAAATGGACAAATTTTGGCATTTGATAGATTGTTTCACAAGATAAATCTTCTCTTTGATAAGCAGTCCTTAGTTCTTTGTGTTCTTGTTCCAAGCCGTAAATGTACTTGTTGCTTACCTTCTTTTCAAGCCAAGATCAGAATTTAATAATCAAGTCCACGAAGCTTTATGCAAGAATGGTCGCGAACTCGCGAGGAAAACTTGGGGATAAAAATGTTGCCGATGCATTGTTACCATCCCTTTCTGGCTTGATTGCATGTATCCATGTTGCAAGACTAACGATTAGGTTTTCAACATGACAAACCGTAACATCCTTCTTGACTTGAGACAAGCTATCAAATTACATTGCATTTGATAGCTTTCATTGAATCACATCCTCAAACAAAGTGCATAATAGCGTTCTTGACCATCTTGTAAAAATTATTATAACATCAAATGTCTTGATCTTGCTCTTAACACAT